GTAACAGAGGAGATGTTGCTTACTCTTTTTCTTCTTTTCAGAGGATTATACCAAGAGGTAAGTTATCCCCAATTTAGGTATGTGATTGATGTCCTGTGTGTTAGGAGGCAGCCTCGACTTGTTTTTCTTCTCCCCTACAAAGAAATATACCAACATTAAGTTTACCTGTGCTTATAGGAACCTATGACCTACTCATCATTAATTGCTAACTCTGTTTAAAAGAGAGGAGAAGGGAAGTTTGTGGGCTTTAGAGTTAAGATTGGCATCAGATATCATCCTGGTTTCATGATTGAATTTGGGCAACTAATCTAACCTCTTAGCTTCATCATCTTTGAGATGAATATAATATCATCTGACTTGCAGGGATCTTGTGAGGAGTATGAAATATTATTATCAAGGGTGTATAAAACTTCTTGGACAGAACCTGGAAGGTATTGGATTCTGTGAATATTAAACATGACATGTGTAGATCAATAGAAGTATGTTGAATTAATAGTAAATACTCATTATTAACTATTATAATTATGTGAAGTAAAACATAATTGTGTTTTAAAAATGTAAAACATAGTCTTATATATCTATTGTATTTTTCACAATTTTATTTTTAATTGCAAGTAGACTAGAATTGTTTATTCATGAGGTAATTATTCCACAGTGGGGCAGAGAGAATTAGTCTAAATATAACATTTGCAGTGGTATGCTTTAAAAATTTAATGATTCCAACAAGTTATTCTATCATATATTTATTTATTCATTTTGTGGTACTGGGGATTGAACTCAGGGCCTCACATATTCTAGGTAAACACTCTACCATTGAGCTACATTTCCAGCATTTTGATTTTGTTTTGAGACCAAGTTGGGTGTTGCCAGGCTGGCCTTGAACTTGCAACCATCTTTCTTTAGCCTTCTAAGTAGGTGGGATTATAGGTATGCATATAGGTGCCAGTGCCTGGCACGCTACCATATTTAGATATTATCGTGGTTAATTAGATGTTGTATACATATGTAATGTTATGATATGGTATCTGTATATGTGGAGAGCTAAATCCCACATAGGAAGCAAGGAAGGTTCTGTAATATTAAGTACCTTCAGTTTATCATAAGGGATTTGCCCTTCCTGTCCATCATTCTCTGGTTAGGACCATGCCTGTGATTATTGAGCATTTACCATATGGCACTGTTATACTCACAGAATATATGGTGACTAGCTAAAGATTCTAGATAGATGACTTATAAATTTACACCTCCATATGATAGATTAAGGCTTTATGACCATGGCATTCTATTCCTCGTTTGTCTTTCTGTTTGTTCAAACTATCTTTAGTAATACACTTGCTGACATATAGACTTATGTGTTATATGTAATACTGTTGGTGAATTTTCTCCTGTTTTAAAATTGTCTTAGTCACAGAAAGCTAACAAAAGAGAGGTGCTTGCTACTGCATGTCTGTAAATAGGTAGTTACTCTGCAGGTATACATCTTATTTTGGCTTTACATTGCTTTCAATAATTTAATATTGAGGAAGTAAAAATGTTTTGCTTGTTTGTGTTGAACCACGACTCCAATTTTGAATCAAATAAAAGCAAGCTTGTATTTGTATACACAGGAACTGGCTAGGACTCTCTCCCAAAATCCCAGGCTAGTAATCATTACCCCAGCTCTCCAGGAACATGGTTTTATAGCACAAAAAGTTGCAGAAGGTGGGTGTCTTGAGTACTTACATATAACAGGATTTTGACAAGCATAGTACAAAGGCAGATAGTAGGTTAATGATCTACATGGCATGATATTTCAAGGTAGGGAGTAAATTCAGATCCCAACATCAGAATTTATGCCGCTGAGGTTTCAGAGAGGGTTGTTATCTGGTCAGGAGGAGCCAGGACTTATAAGGCGTCAGTAAGATTTTAGAGAGGGTTCTTATCTGTCAGGGAAAGCCAGGCATGGGTGAGTTCAAGGCATTCCAAACAAGTTTAGAAATCAGAGTAATTTATAGTAAAACAGAAATTAACTTTTCATGACTTTGTGATGTGATGGCTTCCAATCTTAAAATGGAGTTATCCTGGGTTCATCAGTCTGTAGAATTTCAGTATTTTACGAAGTTGTAGTCCTAACTTGGTTTATAAGACTTCCTTTTGTGTAAATTTTTTAGCTGGTCACACCTCAGTTTACCCAGTCTCACAAATTCTGAGAGTTATCTCTTTGATTCCTTTTATTCCATAGTCCCTCATATCTGAAGTCAGTGAATTCTGCTTGTTTGAACTCTTCACTGTTTCTCCAATTCATCCCATCTTTGTTCTTGCTGCCACTGTTCTAGATCAAGTGCTGGGTGTTGCTCTCGGTTCTTCTGTGATTGATCTCCCTGCTTTAGTCTTGTACTTTTCTTCATGTTGATTGTCAATCTTAAATATAAGTTCTTCTCCTTAAAACCTTGTAAAACTCCTGTCACCTACAGGTTCAAGTCCAAGATTCTGAAACTTACGGTTATTCCCAATTCTTACTCATCCTTAAAGTTTCAACATAGTACCTTCTTTAGGAGTTTCAACTACCCCTCAACAGTTTTGGCATTATTTTTCTGAAAACAAGTCCAATACCCAGAGTTCACCTTTTGAGAAAGGAATGAAGAAAACCAACCCAAACATAGTTGAAGTTTCCTCCTACCCAGTAAAAGTAGACAGGTGAAGTCTAAGTGTGGTAACAGGTTTAAAGCTCCATTGCAGTAAAGCTTATTACATAAAGAAAGAATATACACTTTGGCAGGGAGGATGATATTATAATAGCAATATATAGAAAAGCTAGGAGTCAAAGGCAGTGCCATTCAAAAGTCTCAGTGAAGGTTTACTCATCCCTATTGCCCAGTCCTGGCTTATCCTGATGTAGATGGATGTATCAGACTGTCAGTCCCTGATTCCATTAACCATTCTTATGTAAGTTAAATCCTTTTGCTTATCACACAGTGATATGGTTAAAATGTAATAAATGGCCTGAGCACAGTGGGTCATGTCTGTAATCCCAATACTTGAGGGGCTGAGGCAGGAGGATCACAAATTTGAGTTGAATCCGGGCAATTTAGACCCTGTCTCAAAATTAAAATAAAAAGGGCTGGGGATGTAGCTCAGTGGTAGAGTGGCCTCTGGGTGATTCAATCCCCAGTACAGAAGGGGGAAAAAAAAGATTAAATAGTTTGCCCTATAGGGAGAAAAGCTGCTGCTAGTTGTCATGTAAATAAATGAATTGGATTTATGTACAATTTTTTCTGTTAGTTTGAGTCACTGAATAGATATGAAATACAGTCATATTTCTGCTCATTAAAACTGAGGATTAGATTCATAAGCAAACTGCATTCACTAAGATATGTGTACCTTGTAACACTTCCTGGCAGCTAGTCAGCCAGTTTTACTGGTGACACCGTCTGTCATCATGTGTACCACTTTATGCCTGCTTTGTTTAAAATGGCCTGTGCAAATATTTTTCTTAGGCTTATAAAAATACTAATATTTAAATGACTTGGAGAAATGAATGAAATGCTAAGTGGGCTTTTGTTGTAGTATTATTTTCCTTTTTTTCGGGGGGGAATACTATGGTTTGAGCTGAGGGACACTTTACCACTGAGTTATATCCACAGCCCCCCTTTTTTAAAAAATATACATTTTATAGTTGTAGTCGGACACAATACCTTTATTTAAAAAAAAATTTTTTTAGTTGTAGTTTGACACAATACCTATATTTTATTTACTTATTTTTATGTGGTGCTGAGGATCAAACCCAGTGCCTCGCATGTGCTAGCTGAGCGCACTACTGCTGAGCCACATCTCCAGCCCCTCCACAACCATTTTTTTTTTTTAAATTTTGAAACAGGGTCTCCCTAAGTTGTTGAGGTTGCCAAGGTTGATCTTGAACTTGTGATCCTCCTGCCTCAGTCTCCCAGGTAGCTGAAATTATAGAAGTGCCACATCTTGCCCAACTCCATGGTTTTAATTACCAAGCACATTACTATAAATTTGCTAGGCCTTCATTTTCCCTGGCTAGTCCTACCCTCAAAATCCATGAGACAATGCTGAATTTCACATTTATTCACAGTTAAATGATGAAGTCAGATTTCAAAAGGATAATGCATTCTCCCTTCCTAGATGTTTGCAAAATAACAAACCTTTTATTAAATACACACTATATGTCAGGTAGTGAGTGCACTGGATTATGTTTAATATTTTAAAAATATCCCTGCAGAGTATTTTTATATAGATGAGAAATTTGAGACTGAAAAAAAGGTTAAATAACTTTTTCATGATCACAGCTAGGAAAATAGATTGAATTTGAACCCAGAGCTGTTAATTTCCGGAGGCACTTCTCTTACTAGTAAAGAATGCTTGCCCAGCACATTTAGTTATGTTTAAATAAACGTGTATTTTAATAATTATATTTGTATTTTAAACTAGTTACTTTTAGACTTTTTTTTGCAGTGCTGGGGTAAACATAGGACTTCACACATGCTAGGCAAGTGTGGTATCATGAGCTATAGCTCCAGTACCCTAATTTAGACTATTTTTTTAAACTTGTAGGGCTTAAAGAACTCTGCTGCATTTATTTTGAATATTTTTATTGTTTGGGATTTTTTTTAAAAAGAAGAGTATTATGGATTTCCATCTATTTTTACATAATTTCCCTGAGATAAATTCTTACATAGTTAAAACAGCACTTCCTCGCTCCTAAACTAAATTTCTGTAAGAATGTTGGTTCATACCAAGGGTCTATTTATTCAGTATTTGCTATTAAATATGTGGCTGTTTCTTTTAAATGGTTATGTATTTAAGGCAGCACCATTATCCAACAAAATCTCCCACCCTTCCCCAAATGTAAATTCTGCCTGTTCAGCAGAAGCTCTGCATTGTTTCCCATTAGAAGTGTGAACTGAAGGGGACAGACATTCCTACTGCTTACTGAACGTATAAGCTGTGATCTGCCCTTGTTGTATTATTAATGGCACCATGTTTTTATGTTGCAGATGGATAAGAGCTAGCAAGAAAAATTCAGGACCATGATGGCTCAGTTTCCCACAGCTATGAATGGTAAGGAGCTTTGTGCTTGTGGCAAGATGAGAAGGATATGTATGGGCTTTTCTTGGTAGATAATTTTTCTTGACCTTAGAAATATAAAATTGAAGTATTCTTGTTGAAAATATTAATTAATAATTTATTTCAGAACACTGCATGTATCTCCCATTAGAATATTATGCAGTACATTTCACATATCTAATAAGCATGTTCTGCACTATCATTTGGAATGTGTGCTTGTCATTGAATAGTTAAAAATAACTTGTCATTGAACAGTTAATGATTTTGTGTTTTGTGCATAAAACTGGAGGACAAAAAACAGAGTGCTTTAGGTGAAGAGTAAGGATGTTTTTGATAGTGTGATGATTGAAGACAGATGAAACCAATAAAAATTCATTTACTAATACACATATAAGATTAAGTTTTCCCTTTACAAAGCATTTTATATGCTGACATATATAATTTTTAACATGAAACATTTTAAAAGAAAATGTGTAAGTAATTTTAGTAATGAAAACTTTTAAAGCTTGTGTTCTGATTCTAATTTTTTTCCAAATACAAATAAGCTACCCTTAATTCTTAAGTTATTGTGAGTATTATTTAGAGTTGAGAAAAATGTACTAGATTTTTAAATTGCTAAAAAATCTAGATACTGAGTTATTAATGTTGTGGTAAATATAAGGTTATAGAGAGTAAAGTCAATTTTTTAACATTTAAATTGAAAACAATAATATTAAACATTTTTTTAAAAAGGAGAGAAGAATCACCATTCCATCATCTTCACAAAGCAATTCTGTTTTGATGCTACCATTTAGTGTAAGGGTATTGTGATTTTTTTTTCCCTTTTCAGAACTATTATTTAAGAATTTATGTGAAAAAAGTCTTTCATAAGCCCCTATTATTTTGGATTATCTGTCACCCATAGTTGAACTTAATTGTAAAAAATTATCTACAGATGCATTCTTAAAAGTTCTTTTTAGAAAAAGGATTAATGTAAGCATTGCTTCCATTGTGGAAATGGTGTGGAATTATGGAGATTGGTGCCATAGATAAATTTTTAATATTGAATAATAATTTTTTTCCATAGGATGTATATATGTAAGTTTAAAATTAAGGCAGTAATTTTAGTAACATGCTCTACTCAAGTTTGAGAATTTCCATGCCTGGTATGAAAGAGTTTACATTAAATACAGTTTAGTTATAAGTTTCAACTTCAGGTTTTACAAACAAAATGAACATTAAAAAAAAGCAGGACAGGCTGAGGCTATAGCTCCGGGACAGAGCACTTGCCTAGCATGTGTGAGGCCCTGGGTTTGAGCCTTAGCACCACATAAAAATGAAACAAGTAAAATCAAGGCATGCTGTCCATCTACAACTAAAATAAATGAATGAATGAATGAATGAAGGGGGTGGGGTGGTGGCTAAGTGCTAGAGTGCTTGCCTAGCAAGTGTGAGGCACTGGGTCAATTCTCAGCACCACATAAATAAAATAAAGGTCTACCAACAATTTAAAAAATATTATAAAAAATAATATTGGAAACAATTGAGATATTCAATAACAAAAGAATTCTTATGTGAATAATGGTCCAAAGTGTTAGCTTATTTAGAAGTATTACATAAGGAATAAAGATAGTAGTTGTTTCTTTTGAAGAATTGATAGCAAACAGAGATTTGTACTTTCCTACTAAGCTTATAAAGTAAGTGAAGATTGGAAATAACTTATGTATATCTAATTTAAGTCCGGTTCAGGAGCTTATTGAAAGCAACACTCATGTATAGCACAAAGGCTTCAAAAGTGGTATTTAGTCTTCTAATCAATCCTTAGACATAGTTTGTTCAATTTTCTGATGCTCAGAGCTATTGGGACTTGTCTGTAAAGTGTGCCTAGACTCAGTTGTTTGTCTTAATGCTTCTGATATAGTCCTCCAATTTTTCCATGAATATACTTTTGCTGAGATGAACTGACTCCTTTAAAAAAAATTTTTTTTTGTAGTTGTAGATGGACAGAATGCCTTTATTTTATTTATTAATTGTTATGTGGTATTGAGGATAGAACCCAATGCCTCATGCATACTAGGCAAGTGTTTTGCCATTGAGCTACAGCCCCAGACCAAACCAGAGCCTTTTTATTTTATTTATTTAAATATTTACTTTTTGGTTGTAGTTAGACACTATACCTTTATTTTATTTATCTATTTTTATGTGGTGCTGAGGATCAAACCCAGGGCCTCGCACCTTCTAGGCGAGTGCTCTACCACTGAGCCACACCCCCAGCCCCCAGATCCTTTTTATACTTCTTTGGCTTACTACAGAACTGTGCTATTGTAGTGGCCTCTAGCCCTTCAGTTTCAATTCAAATTAATAAAAATAAAATTAAATTAAAAATTCAGTCTGCATTTCAAGTGCATGAAATAAACACATGTGGCTAGTGGCTACCATATTGGACAGTGCAGATATAGAAAATTCACATCATCTCAGAAAGTTCTTTTGAACAGATATTCTTTTCTTAGTCTCTTTGCTTTACTTCTCATCTCCTTAACAGACTTACAAAGGGTGACTCTACTACTGGTGTCTTTTAAGCTATCTTTAATCATGGTAGGCTTGCTTTCTGCTTTTCACAAATTTGATAAAATTGAAAATTCAGAGAGCATGATAGGTGAGCCTTCTGATAAATGTTGCTACCAGTTGATAGTATAGTGTGAGGTGTCTTATTGCAGCTTAAAATTGTGGAGTACTGAAGACTGATTAAGTGAGAAAGAAGTTCTGAAGCCTGTTAAAGGGGCTGTATCCAAAATCTGGAATAGGGGAGGAGGCAGTGGCAATAGGGACAGCCAATGACTTTAGGAAGAAAACATATTTTTAGAGCTTTATGTCCTTTTTAGAGCTCAATCTTTTCAACTGTGTAGTTAAGAAATTGCTGTGAATGGATCTGTAGAATCAAGTAGAAAACTGTACTGCATTTATAAGTTGTTTTATTTTTTTCCCCAGTACTGGGAATTGAACCCAGGGTGCTCTACCACTGAGCTATATCCACAGCCCTTTTATTTTTAAGTTTGAGACAGGGTCTTACCACATTGTTGAGGTTGGCCTCAAAATTGTGATTCTTCCACCTCAGCCTCCTGAGTAGCTGGGGATTACAATTGTGTGCTACCATGGCTTGCATAACCTAAGTTTTTATTCTTCAAGTCCATACACCATGTGGACCAGTATTCCATTGTATTTTAGAGATTTAAATTAGTATTAAGTCAACATGTATCATTCGACTGTTTAAACTAGAGAAAAATAACCCCTGCAGCCTATTTCTTTTTTCTTTTTCTTCTTTTTTTAGTGGACACAATATTTTTTTAAATGTATTTATTTGTATGTGGTGTGAGGATCGAACCCAGTGCCTCACACATGCAAGGCAAGCACTGTACCACTGAGCTATAGCTCCAGCCCCCATGTAGGCTATTTCTGATATTTAGTTATTACAACATATAGGTAAGATATAACATGTTTGAATTATGTGCATTCAGAATTATGTTAGAATACTGCCATTTTATCACCTGGCTGTGTATATTTTTATATGCATACAAATAAAAACAGGGATGACACTACTTCCTGTATAGAATCTAGCTTATAATAGTTTTTAGAAAATGTGGGTTTTTCCTTCTGCATTGATCATAAGAATGTTTAACAGAGCTAGTAGGTGAGAAGAGAATAAGCAACAGAAATCTTTATGAAAATACCACATTCTCAATTTAGAGATGAGTTGGGGGAAGGGGATAGAATATCAGTGCATTCCTAACATCATTATCTGAGAATATGAAGGGTTGTTAAGCTTTTTAAGGAAATATTAGACATCAGCCCCCAAACTTAAGTGAGTCTGCCTTTCTCTATGGCTTCTGTATGGCTTACAAGACAGATTTTTTTTTACTTGAGTTGCAAAATAACAAACTTGGCTCTTTAAAAGAATCTGGTAATTACATATTCTAAATAAGAAAGAGTTGGAGTAACTATTTTTAAATTGGCTTTAAATTACATGTGTCTCCCAGTTTTGTTATTTCTGTGTTATTTCATTTCTAGAGAATTCTTGGTGCATTGATATCTTTTAATATGGCCATTTGTTTTGAAGTGTTCAAATTTGAAGATTATTCATCTTTGTACCCCATAAACATTTGTTGAATGAATGAATATGAAGGAGTCAAGGTAACTAATTGTTCTCATAAGAAATTAAGTGGTTAACATTAACAGGTAGGTTGAGTTGGCCATGTGAAGACAGGTAGCCAAGGAAAAAGAAGACATAGTGGTACACAAGGTGTCATACTGTGATAGGATCTGTGCTGCTGTCCTGATGCAGCAGACTGTTTTCATCTTAGGACAGCAGTAGTCAGTCATTGCCTGGGGATACACAGCCATGGATGTTAGGGCAGCTCAAACCTTCCTAACCAGACTCTCCAGACTTAAAATAGTCTTAAGGTTTCTGACTAAAAAACCTGTCAGTATTATCTGGCAAGAGTACCTTAACAGAAGGAAAAAAATCCTAAAAATTTGAATGCTTTAACTTCTCTTTTCTTCTTTTGGTGCTGGAGATTAAACCCAGGGCCTCATGCATGATAGCACAACACTCTACCATTGAACTACACCCCCAGCCCTGACTTCCCTTGGGATAGGGTTGAGTAAAGAACTTAACTTACTGGGTTGGGGTTGTAGCTCAGTGGTGGAGCGCTTGCCTCACATGTGTGAGGCACTGGATTTTATCCTCAGGACCACATAAAAATAAATAAATAAAATAAAAATATGGTGTCCACCTACAACTGAAAATAAAAAAAGAAAAGAAAGAAACTAATTAACCCTCCATGTGGCAGGCATATATTATTTATTTGTTTGATTATTTAATTTGGGGTGGGGCATGCTCATTATGTTGTCCAGGCTGGCCTTGAACTCATGGGCTCACGTTATCCTCCTTCCCTTTTTTTGGTACCTGGGGTGGAACTCAGGGGCACTTGACCACTGAGCCATATCCCCAGCCCTATTTTGTATTTTATTTTGAGACAGGGTCTCCCTAGGTTGCTAAGCGACTTGCTTTTTGCCGAAGCTGGCTTTGAACTCGCAATCTTCCTACCTTTTTTTGTTTTTTATTATTGTTTATTATTATTTTTTTATTCTCTATATTTGTTATCTGTGACAGCAGAATGCATTCTTAACAGCACCTCCCCCCTCAGCTGCTGGGATCACAGGCGTGCGCCACCACAGCCAGCAGCAAGGCTTTTCTTACATATGTTTCTGCTTAGGTTTCTTCTTCACAGGTTAACACTATAAATGGTGGAGATTCTTTTTTAAGAATTTGTTGAGAATAGGAATAACATTTTATACATCTTTTTATTGTCAGGTTTAGCTTGTTCTAGTGAATGGTATACCGTAATTGTTCAGTAAATGTTAATTGAGTGAGTGAAACCGTTAGGGCTGTGCTACTCATGGTTGGTAGAGCTCTGTTCTTTGTGTCACTCACAGGTTAAATGCTGTCTTTAAATGGACGCTTATGAGTCATAGTGAATTTTAGAATTGAGCATTCTCACATACACACTATTTTGAGCACTCCCACTTACACACTTTAATTTGTCTTTCATATATGTTGTAGGAGGACCGAACATGTGGGCTATTACCTCTGAAGAACGTACTAAGCATGACAAACAGTTCGATAACCTTAAGCCTTCAGGAGGTTACATAACAGGTATATTTATAATCGTGTTTATAATTTGTTTTATTTTACTTGTCAATTATGCTCCTTTTAGGAACTGATAAAATTTGTATTGATCAAATTCTAGAATTTAAAAGGAAAAAAAAAATAAGATAGTTTCTTATTTTTCCCGAAACTATCTGATTTGTTGTTTTGAATTTGGCATATAGAAGATTTTTTTCTTGAATCTTAAATGATAGTCAAGAATTTCTGCTTAATTGTCTAGTTTTCACATCTTAATATTATATCTAAAAGTTTTCAGTTTATTTCTTAGATTCATTTCCTGGAGGGTAATCTAGAATTTTTTTTTCTGAAGTGCATTTTTATAATATTAGTTTTTTTATCTTTGAGGCTGTGCAAACCATTGATTGTTGATACTAGCCCTTGTTTTATAGGAAAGAGATAATTTAGGTGTGTCTTTCAAATTGTTTTCTAAAAATGAAACTTTTATTTTTGTTCCAAAGTAGTATAGCTTTATATACAGTAATAGTCATGATAATAACAAATATCCTTTTTCTTGAATTTGACTAATGCCAGATTTTGTGATAAATATTAGCTGTTGTTTTACCTTGACAACAGCCCTGTGAGGTAGATACTCCTGTTGTCTATACTTACGGTTGGTAAAACCAAGACTTCGAAATGTTATGAAACCTGCCTAATGTTATAAAGATGGCTAGTGTTGATCTGTATTTTGAAATCTTTCACTGTGACTTTGGGAATCCATCCTCTTAACCATTATAGTTTGTTATTTATATTTCTCCTATAGTGACCCCTTTACCTAGTCTCAGGATTTGATTGCTTTGCTTACAAGTCAATATTATGGCCTGTTATTGTTCATGGATACTGGTGAAACACCCAAAATACCTGAGTCAGAGACCAAAGAATTTGTTACTAATAGCACATACAGCAACATGAGCATGAGCATGTTTCTTTTAGATTATTAGTCCTATAAAGATAATGCAGAACACTCAGAAAGATGCTGGACATGTATTAGTTTTGTAGCAAAAGAGAAACACTGAACTGAGGGAACCCATCATCTTGTAGCAAGCAGTAAAGCAAATTTGTTCTTTGTCTCAGTGGGAGACATTATCTCATTCCTCAAGCTTGCTCACTTACAAGCACCATTCTGAGAAATGACCTAAGCATGGAGGAATTAGGATTTTGCATTCTTGTCACATACAACAAGAAGCATAGATATATGCAGAAACCATGGAGGACTCTCTGTCCTAATACTTGGCACTTTTTATGTTGAACTCTTTTAGGAGGTAGTGTTAAATGGAAATATTATCCCTAATTGTGGAAAATCTAAGAAATTATTTAATCTTACATCACTGGTTGATATGTAATATCACTTCAGTTGTGATTTATGTTCTAAAACATCTTATTAAAATAATATAAATAATTTCATATTTGTATTTCTACTTCATTTACTCCATGACTAGAATTAAAAATTTAATAAACCAATAAAGTGTTCCCATTGTTATAATTCAGTGGCACTAGAGGAATTTATTTACTAATGACTGCTTGGTTTATGTTTTTATTATCTTCAGGTGATCAAGCCCGCACTTTTTTCTTACAATCAGGTCTGCCGGCTCCTATTTTAGCTGAAATATGGTAAAATTTCTTTTTGTTTTGTTAACAAATGTACTTATGTTTCTGATGGCCTGTTGTTTTTTTATAATATGGTGTTAACATTAAATTATTTTTATGTGTACTTGATTATTTTTAAGAGTATTTTTCAGGGGCTGGGGATGTGGCTCAAGCGGTAGCGCGCTCGCCTGGCACGCGTGAGGCCCGGGTTCGATCCTTAGCACCACATACAAAGATGTTGTGTCTGCTGAAAACTAAAAAATAAATATTAAAAATAAAAAATAAAGAATATTTTTCAATTTTATTGAGCAAATGATTAAATATAATAGTTTTTCCCCCCACAGGACAATTTTCTAAAGTATTTTTTAGTTGTAGTTGGACACAATATCTTTATTTTATTTTTATGTGGTGCTGAGGATCGAACCCAGTGCCTCACATGTGCTAGGCAAGCGCTCTGCTGCTGAGCCACAATCCCAGCCCAATTTTATTAGAACTTCTAAGGAAAAAAGATGTATATATCATCCAGAAATATTTGTTATGCTGGGATTGTGGCTCAGTAGTAGAGTACTTGCCTAGCATGTCTTAGGCACTGGGTTCAATTCTCAGCATTACATATAAATAAAAAAAATAAAATAAAAGTCCATCAACAACTAAAAAAAGATATTTTTAAAAAAGAAATATTTAATTGGGCAGAATCTCAAAATTTTCTTTCTCTTAGTTTGTAGTAGTTAAATTATTTTGTCATTTATAAACTCAAAAGTAGCCCTTCACCTTTTAAAAAATTTATTCTCTAGAATATATGGGGTTGTGTTTTCCAGTGTATTTACAATAAATAACAACCACTACCCTTTCTTCCTTTCCTCTTAGAATATTTCTATACTTAAGAGAATGCCAAGCACATAACATGCATTTAATAAACAGTTAAACAAATAAATTTAAAATGATTCTATTCTTGAATCATTTCTGTCTACCTATGGGAATTCATCCTATAGGTCTCTATATTCTATATAGATAGGTAGTATTTTATTAGATGCTGTATCTGGTCAGTGTTTCTTAATGTATAGGGTTTTTCTTTTTGTTATTCATATATATTTTTAATTAAGTGGTGATCTATTTGTGAATGTGAAGTCCTGGTTTTTATTTTGTTAACCTTAATAGTTATGTTGGTTTTCTCACCAACACCCCTGCCACATACCAACCTACCTACCTCATACTTCTTTTAGGGCCTTATCAGACCTGAACAAGGATGGGAAGATGGACCAGCAAGAGTTCTCCATAGCTATGAAACTCATCAAGCTAAAGCTTCAAGGCCAACAGTTGCCCATGGTTCTCCCTCCCATTATGAAACAACCCCCTATGTTCTCTCCATTAATTTCTGCTCGTTTTGGTATGTATTTATTAATTAAGTTGTCTGTATTTGATAGTTCACCTTGATTACTAGAATAATACTTGGGGATAAGAAAAGGATTTTTTTAACACAAAATGACAAACCCCAAACTCCCAAATTAATTTTTTATGTTTAAGATAAGAAATATTAAATTCACTGTCATAGCGAGAGTGTCCATGTGTTCTAGTTTTCCAGAATAGTTCTGGTTTATGCCTTTTGTCCTGACATCTGGTCTAGTCAGTGTCCCCTTTCATAACTCCCAGTTGGGTAATAATTATATGCTCCCTTTAGTTATAGTTGATCCTAAATATTATTCTCATTTTCTCTATGAGCTCATCCAAGTAGAGAGTAGGATGGTGATTACCAGAGCTGTAGAGGGAGGAGAAGGGATGATGATGATAAAATGGTCAGTGGGTACAAAATTACAGTTACAGAGGAGAAATAAATTCTGCTGTTCTGTTGCACAATAGAGTGACTATAGTTAACAATTTTTTATTACATATTTCAAAATAACCAGAAGAGAGGACTTTGAATGTTTTCAGCACAAATAAATGATAAATGTTTGAGATGATAGATATGCTAAATACCTGATTTGACCATTACACAATGTATACATGTTTCAAAACATTATATTGTACCTCATAAATATGTGAAATTATTATGTGTCACTCAAACATCAAATAAAACAAAAAAATTGAACAACTTGAGATTCACTTGAAAGCGTTTACTTGGGAAAATAATTTTAAATTATAAGAAATTATTAAGTTTCTGTTAGAAATTTCTTTTAAGTTAAGTGTTAATTAGCACTGGATATGGTAGTGCATGCTTATAATCCCAGTAACTCAGGAGCCTGAGGCAGGAGGATCACAAGTTTGAGGTCAGCCTCAGCAGCTTAGTGAAACCTCATCTCAAAATAAAAAATAAAAGACTGAGAATGTAGCTTAGTTAGAGTGCCCGTGGGTTCAATTCCCAGTACCAATAAATGAAGGAATAAATAAATTAATATTAATTAACCAACTGAATTGAGGGCCCAAACTTATAGACTTTGTGTTATCAATTTACATATTCATCAAAGATATGTTGATATGTTTCCTATTAATTTTGATTATCCAATTTTTTACTATATATGAGAAGCACTCATTTTGAATGGAACATTCAGTTAGCTATCTGTGTTTTATGTAAACTAAAAAATATTCTACTATATTTTAATCAGCCTACTTTTTGCCTTAAGTTGTATACTTTGCCTTTAAAAAATATATTTATACTGGGCATGTATGTGCATACCTCTAATTCCGGCAACTTGGAACTCTGAAGTGAGAGGATCATGATATAGAACTATATCTTTCCTTCACTCCAGATGTTAGATCTTAAATACCAATTACACTGAGATTTAGAGATAAATACCAAATCACTATGTGACTGTATTCATATCTTGGGCTTAGTGTTTTTCAATTACTAAACAAATGTCTTCACTTTGTTCCTTTAAAAGAATTTTCCTTGAATTCTAAATACATTGCTTATAAAAAAATATGTGGCATGCTTTCTTGCAAATAATGCAAATGTATAAGTGGGTTTCTAAAGTACTTACTAATTAGAACATTTTTGTTTGAGGAGTGTGTGTGTATTTGTGTGTGTATGCGTGTGTGTGTGGGTGAGTCAAGTAACTTGGCACTTGACTTACATAAACTTGGTTTTTTTTTAATGTTAAGAAAAACAATTGATCACTAAAATAGTCTCGTTGAGGGTACTAATACTTAATTGGAAAAGGCTGCTTAGGTTTAATCACAATTAGAGAAGAAAATCTTAGCTGATTAGTAGGCATCTTCTTAGTTCATATAGGTCAGAATATTAGTTTTTAAAGCAGTGATTTACCTTTCTCACTTTTGGTTCAAGACTGCTTTAGGGAATTTTTTTTTTTTTTTTTTTTTAACACAGAGCCTTGTGCATGCTAGGAAAGTGCAGTACCAACTGAGCTATATCCCCAGGCCTGCTTTAGTGAATTTTTACTAAACAAATATCTTAATTTGTTTAGTTTGCCTATGGTGTTCCTGTTCACTGTACTGTGAACTTGCTATTTGGCATGTGCTTTATAGTTGACTTAGTAGCACTGGAAAATGTGTTCTCTTTTGTCTCTAGGGATGGGAAGCATGCCCAATTTGTCCATTCCTCAGTCATTGCCACCAGTTGCACCTATAACAACACCCTTGTCTTCTGCAACTTCAGGGACCAGTCTTCCTCCCTTAATGATGCCTGCTCCCCTAGTGCCTTCTGTTAGTACATCATCATTACCAAATGGAACCGCCAGTCTCATTCAGCCTTTATCCATTCCTTATTCTACTTCAAGTAAGTGTCTAATGAGTCAGTTTTCATGTGAAGAAACTATTGGATTTGTGTTCAGTTAGATACACATTTCCTTCTTTGTGAGATTGCTTAGTGTGAACTTATGCCTTTTTTTTTTTTTTTTTAGCATTGCCTCATACATCATCTTACAGTCTGATGATGGGAGGATTTGGTGGTGCTAGTATACAGAAGGCCCAGTCTCTGATTGATTTAGGATCCAGTAGGTATGAATATTTAACACTTAAACAACTTTCTTTGCTTTCAGTAAGGAGTATGTAATAAGCTCTGAACTTATCCAGGTTTTACTTTGTAATAGCCAAATGTAGGTATGTAAGGTAAATCTGCTACTTATAACTCACATAAAGTAAGTTTTTTTTATCTTCAGAATTATTAAATGTGGTGTTTTGAAAAAAAAATGTAAACTAAAAAATATTCTATGTTTCAATCAGTCAACTTTTTGGCCCAAGCTGTGTACTTTGCCTTTTTAAAAAGTGTGTATGCTGGGCATGGATACACACCTGTAATCACAGCAACTTGGAAGACTGAGGTGGGAGAATCATGAGTTCAAGGCCAGCCTGGGCAACATTATTTCAAAACAAAACAAAACAAAAATGTATGTTTCTCAAAATGTCTCATAATCATTGTACATTGTTAATTTCTTTCTTGAGTAGCTACTGCTGATTGAGTGTCTTTTAAATTTTAGAAATCACAAAAGCATCACTTCTCTTAGAGGTCACTGTTAAGCTCTTCAAAGCAGTGTGAAAAGAGTGGTAGCTTTAACCCATAAGAACAACATTCCAGTCACAGCCTAAACGTTCACTGATTTTTGTGACCTTATTTTTTCTTAATATCACTGAGCCATAGTTTATTCATTTAAAAGATGGGGACAATAATATCTTTTAAGTTTGTTGGGAAGATAAGAAATTATTTTTGTAAAGGCTGTAGCATATCACAAGACCTGGCACATAGAGGCTTATTGGTATGTGATAGACCTTTGGAGTTTTGTACATTGTATGGTACTTGCTTTACTTAGAATAATGATAATTGCTTAAATTTTAGGTTTTTTAAAAATACAAATGTAAAAGCAATTATTATGTAAAGTATTATTCTTATTGTTTATCTTACAAGTTTTAATTAAAAGTATTTAGTAACAAAACATTTTAAATTAATTTTGTTATAGCTCAACTTCCTCAACTGCTTCACTCTCAGGGAACTCGCCCAAGACTGGGACTTCAGAGTGGGCGGTTCCTCAGCCTTCAAGATTAAAATACCGGCAAAAATTTAATAGTCTTGATAAAAGCATGAGTGGATATCTCTCAGGTAAGCCATATACAGTGCCATTAAAGATGAGAATTAAATTATTATTAAATTATTTTATACAGATTTATTTGAAAAACTGTAATTTGACTTTGTACTTTGTAGGTCAACTAAGTTTTAATACTCCAAAAGTTTAGATGACATTTGACAAATAAAAATATTATAAGTTGTATGAAATTCAGAGATGAAATCAACTTGATTGCTTCTTCAAAGTTCTTACAATCAAGTTGAACATGTTAGTATACACCCAACCTTTTGGAAAAAGACCTGTCTCTCAAATGTATCAACCTCATCCTCTAAGCTTTTCAGTGCATGAAGGAACCCCAGGTCACTAGGTGCCATGTGTAGAATTTAGCCTTCACTTACTTTCCCTATTGGATCTTTCCTCTGCTTGCCCTTTGCAAACCTCAGACAAGCATTGTTCACCATCCTTTAGTGCTTTAACCCAAATATGCCTATAAGACTTGGTCTTAGATCCTTGTAGAACATTTGAGTCCAGGCTAGAACATTATCCAAACTTTACTAAGTGAGGATAGTGAAGGGGATATACACAGAGGCTAATAGGCAAGCAGAGTTCTTAACCTCTGACTTTCTCACTCCCTCTTCACTTAGAAACTATGATGTAGGACAGAGTAAAATAAATATTTAAAGATAATAGAGCTTTAACATGTCAGGGAATGTAGAATGGGAGAAATTAATATTGAAAGGCTCAGATAAAAGAGAAAGGGTTAGGATTTAGACAGAGATTGAAGATGAGGGCATTTGAGATTGACAGAGAAGAAATCCTAGGTAAAAAATACATGGACTAAACCAGCACTACAGAACTTAAAAATATTCCATATAAAAGACATAAGAAAACAAACCCAAGAGCTCACAAATGAACAAACCTCATTTGAAGAGTAGCTAAGCAAATGAGAAACAGGACCAAATTAGATATGATAAACAAATCAAAATGGAAGGAATTAATAAGCATCTCTCTGTAATAAACTTTGAATATAAATGGACTGAGTTCTCCAATGAAAAGACATAGGCTGGGGCCGAGGTTGTAGCTCAGTGGTAGAGTATTTGCCTAGCACATGTGAGGCACTGGGATTGATTCTCAGCACCACATAAAAATAAATAATAAAATAAAGGTATGTGTCCATCTACAACTAAAGACATTATCTTAAAAAAAAAAGACATAAGCTGGCAGGATGAATTAAAAAACAAGATCCAATTATATGCTGTTTACAAGAGATGCATCTTACAGGCAAAGAAAGCCACAGGCTGAAAATGAAAGGGTGAAAATTAGTAAACCATGTGAATGGAGCCCTGAAACAAGCAGGAGTGGCTACTCTCATATTTGACAAAGCATACTTTAAAACACAATTAATCCGAAGAGTCAAAGAAGGTCATACTGGTAAAGGGAAAAGTGCAAAAAGAATATATAAAAGTAATAAATATTCATGCCTGAACTGTGGGTTCAACTAATTACACAAAAGACTAGAGACACTACTCAAATTAAAGCCTAAGAAAGACTCTAGTATAATAATAATATGGGTGATTTCAGCATACCTCTCTCACCATTAGATTAGGTCATGCAGATATAAATTTAGTGAAGACTCTTTGGATATGAAAAATTTTATATGAACTCAACAGACATTTATAGAATATTTCATCCAATCGCAGCTGAATGAATACACTTTATTCTCAGTAACTCATGGAATCTTCTTCAAAATAGACTATATTTTAGATCACAAAGCAACTCTTAGCAAATAGAAAAAAAATGATATAATTCCTTGCATGTTATCAGATCATAAAAGAATGAAATTAGAAATCAGCATGACAAAACCCTACAGAAACTATATAAACACATGTAGACTGAACAATACTGTTTTAAATGGATGATAAAGAAATCAAGGGAGAAATTAAACAATTCTTAGACTCAAATGAGAATAGTGATATAACATATCAGAACCTCTGGGGCACTATGAAGGCAGTTCTAAGAAGAAAACTTATAGTGTTGAGAGCCTAGATAAGAAAATAAGAAAGATCCCAAATAAACAACTAATGATGTATCTCAAGGCCTTTGAAAAAGAACTAACCAATTTCAAAACCAGTAGAAGAAAATAATTAAGATCAGAGCCAAAATCAATGAACTTGAGAACAACTACAACAATACAATACAAAGGATCAGTGAAACAAAGAGTTGATTTTTTTTGAAAAGATAAGGAAGATTGATAAGCCCTTAGCCAAACTAACCAAAAGAAAAACAGAAAACACAAATTAATAAAATTAGAGATGAAAAAGGAGAAATCACCACAAACATTCAGAAATCCAGGAAATTATTAGGAACTATTTTGAAAACTTATACTTTAAAGAATTAGAAAATCTAGCAGAAATGGGTACATTTCTAGACAAATACAATCTGCCAAAACTGAACAGGACATAGAAAATTTAAACAGACCAATAACTTATAATGAGAGAGAGGCAGTAATAAAAAGCCTTTCAAAAAAGAAAAGCTCAGGACTAGATAGAGTCTCAGCTAAATTCTATCAAACCCTTAAAGAAGAACTGATGCTAATATTCTTCAGATTATTCCATGAAATGGAAAGGGATGGAACACTTCCAAATTCATTCTGTGAAGCCGGAACACTCTTACTCAAACCAGATAAGGACACATCAAGGAAAGAAAACTATGACCAATATCCCTGATGAACTTAGATGTAAAAGTACTTAATAAAATATTAGCAAATTGTGTTCAGTGGCATATTAAGAAGATTGTACACCACAACCGAGTTGGTTTTATTCCAGATATGCAAGGAATATTTAATATATACAAGTCAATAAATATAACTAATCACATAAATTGAATTAAGGACGAAAACCACTTAGTAATCTCAATAGATGCAGAGAAGGCCTTCAACAAAATTCAGCACCCATTTATGATAAAAACACTGAAGAAACAAGGGATAGAAGGAACCTACCTCAACATCATAAAGGCTACAGATGAAAAACCCAAAACCAACCTCAGAGTAAATGGGGACAAACTGAAATCATTTCCTTTAAAGTATTGGACAAGACAAGGATGTCTACTCTCACCACTCCTATTTAATACTAGTGCTAAAAATTCTAACCAGAGCAATTAGGCAAGAGAAGGAAATAGAAAGGATAAAAATAGGAAAGAAAGAAAACAAATTATCACTGTTTGTGGATGATATGATCCTATGCCTAGAAGATCCAAAAAGTTCCACCAAAAGACTGCTTAGAGCTCAAAAACAAATTTAGCGAAGTAGCTGGTTACAAAATCAGCTTATGAAAATGAATAGATTTCCTGTATATCAACAATGAATCTGCTGAGAAAGAAATCAGGAAAACAGTTCCATTCTCAATAGCCTTAAAGAAAAAAAAAAAAAAGAAGAAGAAGAAGAATACCTAGGAATAAATCGAACCAAGGAGTGAGGAGTGAGATACTTCTACAATGACATTCTTCACACAAGCAGACAAAAACAGTCCTAAAGTTTATTTGGAAGAACAAAAGACTCTGAATAGCCAGCCAAAGCATTTCTAAGCCATGAAAGTAATGTTGGAGGCATCACAATATCTGCCTTCGAATTATACTACAGAGCTGTAGAAACAAAAATAGCATGGTACTGGCATAAAAACAGAATCATAAATCACTGGTACAGAATAGAAGATACAAAGACAAGCCCACACAGGTACAGTTTTCTGATCCTTGACAAAAGTGTCAAAAACATACATTGGAGAAAAGACAGCCTTTTTAACAAGTGGTATTGGGAATACTGGTTATCCATATGTAGAAAAATGAAACTAGACCCTTATCTCTCACCCTGTACAAAAATCAACTCAAAATAGATCAAAGACCTAGCAATCAGCCCAGAAACTATGCAGCTCCTAGAAGAAAACATAAGTCAACACTCCAACATATGGGCACAGGCAACAACTTTCTCAATAGGACCCCTAAAGCTCAGGAAACAATACGAACAGGTAATAAATGGGATGACATCAAATTTAAAAGCTTCTGCACAGCAAAGGAAACAATTAGGAATGTGAAGAGAGAATCTATAGAATGGGAGAAAATCTTTGCTAGCTACTCTTTGGACAGGATTAATATCTAGAATCTATAAAGAACTCAAAAAACTTGACACCGAAAAATCAAATAACGCATTTAATAAATGGGTAAGTGAATTAAACAGACACTTCTCAAAAATAGAAACACAAATGTCCAACAAAATATGAAAAAAATGTTCAACAACATTAACAATTAGGGAAATGCCAATCAAAACTATCCTGGATTTCATCTCGTACCAGTTAGAATAGCAGTCATCAAGAAAATAAATAATAATAAATGCTGGAGAGGATGTGGAGAAAAAGGAACACTTTTACACTGGTTAGTATGATTTTAAATGAGCACAACCATTATAGAAATCAGTATGGAGGTTCATCAAAAAACTAGGCATGAAACCACCATATGATCCAGCCATAACACTCCTTGGTATTTATCCTGAAGAATTAAAGTCATCATACTACAGTGATACATGCGTACCCATAATTATAGCAGCACAATTCACAGTAGCCAAACTATGGAAGAGGCCTAAGTGTCTATAATGAATTAATGGATAAGGAAAATGTAGCATATATACACAATAGAGTTTTATTCACCCATGAAGAAAACGGAAATTATGTCATTTGCAGGAAAATGGATAGAACTAGAGATGATTATGTTAAGCGAAATAAGTCAAACTCAGAAGGTTAAGTATTGTGATTTCTCTCATATGAAAGCTAGAAAGGAAAAAGGAAAAGAAAGGTTGAAGTGGGTAGGGATCTCATGAAAATCAAAGGGGTATTAGTATAGGAAAGGGACCAAGGGATGAGAGGTGGAGAGGAAGGAGGGAAGTACTGGGGAATGATAGTCACCAAATTATATTGTTATACTGTGTGCATGTATGAATATGTTACAACAAATCCCTTCATTATGTGCAACTATAATATACTAATAAAAAATGGGGGGGAAAATACGTGGCATGTTTGGAGAATGAAAAATAGTCTGTGGGGTTGGGGTTGTGACTCAGTGGTAAAGTGCTTGCCCAGCATGTGTGAGGCACTGGGTTCCATTCTCAGCACCACATATAAATAAATTAAAAAATAAAGATCCATTGACAACTAAAAGTATGTTTTTAAAAAATAGTCTGAAGTAGGAGTATAGGGTCTGTAGTTCTGCAGTAGGGTAAGGGTGCAGTGAGACTTGGAATTAACTGAACAAACAAAATATACAGTGTTTTTTTTCCAAAGATACCTACTTGCATAAATAAAAACATTTTTTCCTTTTAAAGCAAGGGAATTAAGCCCACAAAGTTTTGGATAGTGGGGCTGTTTTATTATTGTACTTCATAACTTATATATTATACTATGTGTTTTTACATGTGCCTATTTTTACCTAAGTAAAATTTTCTACTTTTTAATCAAATGATATAAAACAAGGTATATTGTATTTTTCTTTTCCTGTCCTGGAGATTGAACCAAGGAGAGCTCTACCACTTAGTTACATCCCCAGCCCTTTTTATTTTTCATTTTGAGACAGGGTCTTGCTAAGTTGCCCAAGCTGGCCTTGAATTTGTGATCTTTCTACCTCAGCCTCCTAAGTAGCTGGGATTACAGGTGTGTGTTTTCATGCCCAATTATACTGTATTTTTTAGATACATATTTTTATAAAATATTTTAATGTATCTGAAACTGGCCTGTGTATTGCTTTAAGTGGTGTCTTGGTGTACTATGTCATAATTTTATGACTATTTTTTCTTAGTGTGTGTGTATGTGTGTATATATATATATGTGTGTGTATATATATATATATATATATATATATATATATATATACATACACACATACATACATACACAAGTAATGAAATGTTAGATTGTATGAGATGTGACATTGAAACTTAATTGAGATAAATGTCATGATTCCCATTTTTTGAAAAAATGAACTTCTTTGGACCCTACATTTTTCATTAAAGGAATATCTTTTTTCAACTTCAGTAGAGTGTGTTCATATGGGCTTTTCTTAGTAACATACTCTGCTGGCTGGCTGTGGCCCTTTATATTATTCAGACTTTGCTTGTCCTCCTGCAGTATTTTTTTTTTTAACCATTTACATCCTCCTAGCTTGTGTCTGTTCGCTCTTTTGCCTAGTGTGAGGGGATTTTCTTTCAATCCTCTTTGTCCAGGAGCTTAAATATTATTAAATATTTTCAAGTTTGAGACAGTCTTCCATTTCTATTAGAAGAATCCTGCTCTTAACACAAAGACCTCCTTAACTCTTATTTCCTATGTGAAATTTAGAGAGTAATTAGTAGTGTGAATCTATGAGCTATATCCAGAATTTTTTCTTATCTGATTTCTCATAAACAGCCAGATTAAAAATAGAATGGAAGGCTGGGGATATAGCTCATTTGGTAGAGTGCTTCCCTTACATGCGCGAGGCCCTGGGTTCAATCCCAAGCACCACAGGGGGAAAAAAAATTGAGTAGAAAATATTTAAAAGTTACATAATATGAACAATCAGCTGCAACTTATAATACATGGTAGCTTTGATTAGCAAGTCCTGTGTGTTCAAAGTCCAGTGGACCAATGGGGTTAGCTCTATTTGTGCTGGCTTTGTAGTGGGAACTGTTCCTAAGGAAGAGTTGTTTAAACTCTTAACGTATGTAGAGTTGTGTTGGATAGGCCTTGTTTTAGACTGAACCCGAAGTCGAGACCAACTCTTCTGGTGCTCATGGCTTAGTCACCTAGAGATGGGAGGTGAGGTACCTGCTTCACTGACTAGGAAACCATCCCTGGAGAAGCCACGATTCTATCCATGGTCCAGCAAGCCACAGACTAGCTTACTATCAGTGAATGCTAATTTGAAGAAGACAGGGATTTTCTTTTCTGGATTGTATTCCTGAGCTTTCTGTATGTCTTTTTTCTGGATGTGACATTCTATATCATGAATTCTATTACAAAAAACATACTTTTGATTACTGAGGGAGAGAAAAGAATTTGAATATTTTACTACATACACTAAACATTCAATAAATATTAGTTATCATTGTCAGATGCTATCACATAAGTCCTCATGTACCTTAAATAGAGGAAAACTCTGGATTCCAACTTCATGAATTATTTTATTAAGCATCCATTTTCGAGGTATTGGGTATGCACTAGCGAATAAGCAGTCCAGGTTTTTGTCTTCTTAGAATGTAATAGCATTGTAGGGAAAACAGATGAGATAAACAAGCAAATAAAAATTACATTACCAGGGTTGAGGCTGCAGCTCAGTGGTAAAATGCTTGCCTCGCACGTGTGAGGCACTGGGTTCAATCCTCAGCACCACATAAAAATAAATAAAGATACTGTGTGTTCATCTACAACTAAATAAATATTTTTTAAAAATTACATTACCAATTGTGATAGAAGATATGAAGGAAACAGGAAGTGTATTGAATGATAGGGTGGACTGGGAAGACCTGAGAAAGTGGCATTTTAAATTGAGACAAAGTGGGGAGGATGCAGATATGAAATGACATGGATTTGTAGGACTTGATGTAGGATAAAGACAGGAGAAAAAGGGATCAAGGGAACTTTTGGATTCCTGACTTGAGCCACTGGGTGGACAGTGATGTCATTCATAGAGAAAAGAAGATTGGGGAGAATGATTTGTGGTGAAAACTAAGAAGAGAGACATGGAAGATCATATGGAGAGTTTTATATGTATTGGTTTGAGATGACTGTAAAATATCTAAATAGGTAAAGAAGTATAAATTTAGAGGAGAGATTTGGACTATGGATATACATTTGGAGATCATCAGGTTCTAGGTGCCTGTTTAAAGCCATGGAAGTGGATGTGACTACATAGAGACAAAGTGCCCAGAATAGTTCCTTAGAGGGATGATATATTTACAGATCACTTAGGAAGAAAGAGAATAGAGACAAAGACATAACCAGAAATGAGAAATCTAAGAATGTATTAAGGAAGTCGTGCTTCAAATTGCACTGGGAGTACAAGAAGGCTGAAGAACCTCTCATACTGTCTCTGCCTGGTGACTTTTTCCTTTATGTCAACTGCTTGTGTGTACTGCTATTTTTTTTAAATTTCTTTTTTAGTTGTGGATGGATACAATACCTTTATTTTGTTTTGTTTATTTTTAAAAAATATTTTTTTAGTTGTAGGTGGACACAATATCTTTATTTAAGTTGTACTGAGGATCGAACCCAGTGCCTTACACATGCTAGGTGAGCGCTCTACTACTGAGCCAAACCCCAGCCCATGTACTGCTATTTTAATGAAAGAACATGGGGGAAGCACTTGAACTCACTAATTCTAGATTTTTGACTTCTTGGAGCAAGTACTGTGTTTGATTACTACTGAATGCTCAGTTTGTGGCACATGGTAAGAACATTTTGCTATTAAAAGTTCCCAAGATACCAGCAGTGTTATATTATTGTTGTAGAATTATATAACATATATAATTATTATATTTAGGTTTGCATAACTCTAAAGAGGCTAAAAAATTTTTTCTTTATGGTTTTCCCTTCAACCAGGTTTTCAAGCTAGAAATGCCCTTCTTCAGTCAAATCTTTCTCAAACTCAGCTAGCCACTATTTGGTGAGTTTGTCTATTAATTATTATTTTAAACTATACCTCCTCTATTATAAGAAAGATATTGTTTCTGGAAAAAATTGTTTCTATAAAAGTTTGTAATTCAAAGATCCTCCATAAAAGCAGCCATTTGAAAGTTAACGTTGACTTTAAAACCAAACATACTTGTGCAAAGCATTGTTCTTGAGAACTTAGCATTTAATTGTTTTACAAGAAAAGTACACTTTTCTTCTATATAATGACTTCTATGGAGAATCAGACAATATATCCTTATAGGTAAATGTGGTTAGGTAGATGAATTGAACATGACATAAGCCACCTTCTCACAATGGGTATTTCCCATTCTGTTTCAAAGTCTTCCCTCTTTTATGTTATGAAAATTAAGGGTTAAAATTAATTCACTTTTTTGTATATATTTTCATTTCACTAAAATATGATAGCCCATTAGTTTTATCATCATTATTCTTTTTTTTTTTTTTTTAGTTGTTGATGGACCTTTATTTTATTTATTTGTATGTGGTGCTGAGAATCGAACCCAGTGCCTCATGCATGCTAGGCAAGCACTCTATCACTGAGCCACAACCCCAGCCTCCTCATCATTATTCTTTTAAAAATAAAATTTTTTCAAACAGTATTTTATTCCAAATGGACTTTGTAAGTATGAATTTCACATTTTCTTTAGGTCTCTGGCTGACATTGATGGTGATGGACAGCTAAAAGCTGAAGAGTTTATCCTTGCTATGCACCTCACTGACATGGCCAAAGCTGGACAACCTTTGCCACTGACTTTACCTCCTGAGCTGGTCCCTCCTTCTTTCAGGTGAGTGTCTCTAAAGAAGAGCTATGTTTTTTCATTACTTGGCAGGTGTGCTTTTAGTTTGGGATTTGTTAGGGTCTGTGCTGTACTTTAAAGGATAGAGTTAAATATTTGTGTTGGTATTTGATTTTAATATCCAACGAGTTACACTTGAAAGGAGTACATATTAGAAGGTATGTTTTCACCATGTTACAGACAGGAAATTGGTAACTAAAGAGATTAAGAGAAACTTGCCTGGGCTGGGAATGTGGCTCAAGTGGTAGCATGCCTGCCTAGCATGCGTGAGGCACTGGGTTCATGCGTAAGGCATGGGTTCGATTCTCAACACCACATAAAAACAAAATAAAGATATTGTGTCCACCTACAACTAAAAAATAAATATTAAAAAAAAAAGAGAGAGAGAGAGAGAGAGCAACTTGCCCAAGAATAGCAATTAGTTTGCTGGGTGCAGTAGAGAGTAATCCCAGTGGCTTGAGAGGCTGAGGCAGGAAGATCTTGAGTTCAAAGCTAGCCTCAGCAACTAGCAAGGCCCTAAGCAACTCAGTGAGACCTTGCCTCTAAATAAAAAGTGCTGGGATATGGCTCAGTGGTAAAGTACCCCTGGGTTCAATCCCTGGTACCCCCCCCCCCCCCCCCCCCCCCCCCCCAAAAAAAGAATACCAGTTAGCTGAACCATAATTTGAATTCAGATCTCTGGCTTGAAATCCATATACTGCTCGCTGTACATTGTAACTATAAACCATACTTTGTTTTAAATATCTTTAACAGTATTCTAAATATTAATTTGTAATAATCATTGGTAGTTTATATTATCTTGCCTGAAAATTCCCAGACTGCATGATATTAAATTTGTTTGTTATTTGCTTTTCTTAGAGGAGGAAAGCAAATTGATTCTATTAATGGAACTCTGCCTTCTTATCAGAAAGTGCAGGAAGAGGAACCTCAGAAGAAATTGCCAGGTATCATTGAATGTCTGAGTTGTATGTTTATAGTGAGTTCTTTAAAGTTTTACTTTGAAATGTAGATGCATATTTAGAATTTTTGCATTCTTTAAATTTCATATTGCTATATGAGAAAACTATATGATGAATGAGATGAATTTTGATGTCAATAAAATTTAGCTAGGCAAAATGAGAAGACTGAAGGAAGAAGAGACAGTGTCCAAGTTAGGGTGTTTCTCCCACTTAGGCAGGATTAGTAGAGCAAACTTTGTGATGAAATCTTTAGCATTAACTTTTTTTTTAAAGATATTGGTTGAAAGAGTACATATGTAACTGTTTTAAAATATTTAAAAGTTAATGAACATGTATCAAACAAAACAAAGGTATATAGCCACACAGCTTTCATTGTCCTAGAAGAAAACTCTGAGAAAAAAGCTAAAATAGTATTTAATTGACAAGGATAGTAAAAATTATTTTTCTCTTGGATGAATTCAAACATAAAATTTGTTTGTTTGTTTGTTTTTGAATGAATATATTTAGAAGTAAATATTTTCCAGTTTACATTTGAATTAAAATTATTCTTAGGAGAAGTAGCCAAAGAATGAGAGCACACAAATGATCACAAGGTGCAAGTATGTTGAACTAGATTACAGGTCCTATAGGCTCTTGCTGAGTGGGGACAGCTGACAGTGTGCCTTCTTTAGTTACCTTTGAGGACAAGCGGAAAGCCAACTACGAGCGAGGGAACATGGAACTGGAGAAGCGTCGCCAAGCCTTGATGGAGCAGCAACAGAGGGAGGCAGAACGTAAAGCCCAGAAAGAAAAGGAGGAGTGGGAACGAAAGCAGAGAGAATTACAAGAACAAGAATGGAAGAAACAACTTGAATTAGAAAAGCGCTTGGAGAAACAGAGGGAATTGGAGAGACAACGGGAGGAAGAAAGGAGAAAAGAGATAGAAAGAAGAGAGGTTATTTTTAAGTTATTTTATTTCCTAAGAAATCTTTCATTTAATAAGAAATTACATTTCATGTAACAAAAACATGTTTTTTTTGTTTGTTTGTTTTTTGCATTTTTATTGTACCTTTTCCTCTGCATCATTTCATTCTAAAAGATAGGAATCTCCCTTCCTTTAAGAAGGGAAAGAGGACCCTTTCATGTAAGGGCTTTTCAAGGCTGCTAAGTGTAGAGACAACCACTCTGCAGTTGATAGCTCAATCAAAAGAGAATTAACTGTCCTTCCTGAGTTGAGTGAGGAGCTAAGGATAGTGGGGAGCGAGGAGTCAGACTGAGCCAAGACGTTAGATGAAAGCAAGTTTAGGATTCAGATTTTACAATTTAAGGAATTGGAGGAACAGAAGGACAAGAGTGGGAAGGTGAGGGTCTAGAAAGAAATCAAGAGGGTGGCCTTGTGTAGGTGCTCAGGATAGTGTCATATGGGATCCCTGGGAGGTTTGACTGTGTATTAAAGGGTGAGGAATGAGCACTGTAAATTATGGTGCACTGAAAAAATGTAAATAGGTATTTTTTTCTCCATAGAAGAATAGAGATGTTATTATTCCTCTTACCATTTGTATTTATGAAGTGTCATTTTTGCTCTTAAGAGAAAAATTCCTATATTTAAATGATGGTCCAGTGAAGCAATCAGTGATGGCTGTAGCTCAGTGGTAGAGCACTTGTTTTGCGCGTGTGAGGCACTGGGTTCGATCCTCAACACCACATAAAAATAAATAAAGATATTGTGTCCATCTACAACTAAAAATTATTTTTTTAAAAAAGGTGATGGATAAAGTAGTCACTTTGGTGGGAGTCTTTAGACCTATTGATAAAGCTAGATTTGCCTACCTAATCTTTAGACACTGTGGCCTATGAAGTGCTGAACACTGTCATACCTTCAGTTTCTGAAAGATGCAAAGTTTTTAATTTAAAATTTAACTTTAATTCATTATTCTCAGGCAGCAAAACAGGAACTTGAACGACAACGTCGTTTAGAGTGGGAGAGAATTCGTCGACAGGAGCTTCTCAATCAAAAGAATAGAGAACAGGAAGAAATTGTCAGGTTAAACTCTAAAAAGAAGAGTCTTCATCTTGAGTTGGAAGCACTGGTATGGCTAAAGTTTAATGGAATTTATTTGAATGATGCTAAAGTTACCTGTTGAAAAATACAATTGTTTTTAAAAATCATATCTCATAAATAAATTTTGTTTAATGTAATTACTAGTTTTATTTTCAGATGTACTTTCAATAGATTTGACAGTATAGTTTACTAAAAAAGGCTAGAGATTCAAAATGCTGAGAATTCTGTTAAAATTTTAGTTTAGATGCTGGGCAAGACATTTTCTTCCTCTGTGTCTCAACCTTGCCTATGTATAAAATAAAGAGTGTACTAATTCATTAATTTTTAGCTTTCAAATCAGTCTCTAGAAGAAAGCCTACAAAGGATACTACCCAACAGATGGCTCTATATTTATCTGCTTTATTTTTATTAGCGTTTTATCTAGGATTTGGTTGGATAAAAGGATTCTTTTGAGCTGGGAATGTAGCTCAGTTATAGAGTCCTTGCCTAACATGCAAGGCCCCAAGTTCAAACCCCAGGAAGGAGGTGGGGGAGTCTTCCTTTGTTAAAAAGAAAAATGACTTAAAAATTGTTATCTAAATGGTCTCTTAAAATTACTTCCAGTTCTATATGCAGAGTTTAGAAAGGTCCAGAACCTGTACTTAGACATATTGAAGATTGTAGTGTGAGCTCTAGGAAGGATACAGCATATTTAGTGTGTATTCCTCAAATATGAAACAATCTTCAGTAAAACTTCCATTATTTATGATTTTTAACCAGAGATCACATTTCTCCTCACTCTATTGGTTTGTTAGGGCTACCATAAGAAAATACTACAGGTTAAGTAGCTTAAATAGCAGAAATTTATGTTTTTCACAGTCCTGGAAGTTAGCAGTTGAATATCAAGGTGTCTGTGGGTTTAGTTTCTCATGAGGTCTCTCTGGCTTGCTGGTGGCTACCTTATTCCTGTGTTCATAGTCTTTTCCTCTGTGCATGTGCATATCTATTATGTTTTGTGTCTAGATGTTCTCTTATAAGGACACTAGTCAGATTGGATTAGGACCTGCTCATATTACTTCATTTGACCTTAGTTACCTTTTTAAAGATTCTTTCTCCAAGTATAATCATATTCTGATGCACCAGGGTTAGGACTTTAAAGAATTTTGTAAGGGACACGATTCAGCCTATAACGCCTCAACTCACCCTTCTTCTTAGGCCCCATTGAAAATTTCTTATTTTCCTCTCCCTCCTCAGAAAAGAAAGGGGAAGAGAGGTTACTCATTGATTAAGGAACGGAGTACTATTATAGGAAAAGAGAATTGTTTTCAAAAAGGTTCTCTTAGATACTGTTTAACTAGAGGAAATTAGACAATAATATTGAGAGTAGGAATAAAAGCTCAGAGAAGGTAATGCTAAATGTTACATATAAACGTTTATTCCTTCTCATTATTCTTTGAAATTATCTCTGATATTAATATTTTAAGTATATGCCTAAGTGCTGAATTCAGAAAAATACTAAGTATATTTGTGCTTTCTCATCTTAACGTTTGATCTCTTATGCTCTGAGAATGATGTATTTTCTTCCAATACTTCTCTTGAGTTAACAGATGCAACTCTACAACATATTTCACTTGGTTTTAGACCTTTATTTCAGAGTGAGTATAAATAATAAGTGGCATTTAAAATTTTAACTAAAAACAAATTTTATCCTGGTAGAACATTTCCTTTTAGCACTTTATGTAAATATACACAACCTTATACATATGTTTGTATGGTCTTCCTCCAGAATGGCAAACATCAGCAGATTTCAGGCAGACTTCAAGATGTCCGACTCAGGAAGCAAACACAAAAAACTGAGCTGGAAGTTCTAGATAAGCAGTGTGACCTGGAAATAATGGAAATCAAGCAGCTTCAACAGGAACTTCAGGTAAGTCCTTTGTTGATAAATTGTCCATAAATGTGTAGTTATTCACAGTTCTTCCAATAGTGTGATTGCACTTTTGGGGATCATGAGCCCCTTGGAGTCTCTGGTAAACCTGTAATGTAAATATACACAACCTTATACATAATATCAGAAATCGTATGTCTCCTAAAACTCTGCTAGACATCCAGTTAAGTTCTGCTTAATATTTATATGTAAATGGACATTTACCACTTTGAGTTTTAACTCTTTTGTAAAAGAAAAAAATGTATGTATATATTTGTCTTGGTCTATTCATGCTGTTATCAGAATATCTTAGACTGGGTAAGTTATAATACCAGAAACTTATTGCTAATAGTTATAGAGGCTGGAAATTTGAAGACCAAGGCACTGTAAGTCAGTGTCTGGTGAGTTTACTCTCTGCTTTGAAGATGTCATCCTGCACTTCCTCACATGGCAGATGGGGCAGGGCAGCTCCCTTCGACTTGTTTTATTATAAGAACACTAATCCCATTCATTAGGGAAGAGCTCTCATGATTTAATCACCTCATAAAATCCTACCTATTAGCACAATTGCATTGGGGGTTAAGTATCAAAATATTAACTTTGGAGAGGACACCAGCATTCATACTGTACCATACATTAAAGTAAGTTTATAGCTACCTTGAAACTTCGACATACTCTTTCCAGAATTGTGGTAAGAATGTTAAGTATGTCCCTCAAAAACCTGGTAATTCTGTTCTTTTGTGCAGTAGGGTGTGTGTGATTCAAGAACTATTTTTGCAGAATAAGGATTCTAAGAAGCATTCATGTCTAGATAGTCTTCTTACCCCATTTCTCTTACTGTATGGTCTGACAATCAGTCTTTTCCCTGTGTCACAGCATATATAAACAAAAGCCAGAAAACATTTCATGTCTATCTAAACCTGTTTCCCTTGTTCTCCCTGAATTTTTGGTCCTTTTTTTTTTTTTTAAGAGAGAGATAGAGAGAATTTTTTTTTAATATTTATTTTTTAGTTCTCGGCGGACATAACATCTTTGTTTGTATGTGGTGCTGAGGATCGAACCCGGGCCGCACACATGCCAGGCGAGCGAGCTGCCACCTGAGCCACATCCCCAGCCCTTTTGGTCCTTTTTTGATAATCACACAGGCAGCACTCTGGAGTGTCGTGCTCTGGTACAGGTGCCAGAGGCACCCCTTATGCTCTGCTCACATTAGAAAGCTGAAGATTGTAGACTTCTAGACATACCCTCTTGATGTGGCTTCTTTATTGCCTTTTTATCTCATCCAGTTATAAATGGATGTTTAAGTGTTTGCTTTTTAGTCCTGCATAGTTCTATTCTAGTTTGTTCATAAACTAGAAGCATGTTATAATTATGTATTATCACTGTACTAATTTCATAAGTGATTAAATCATGTTTAAAAGTTTTCAAAAAATTCTTGGGTATTACAACCTTAATTAGATATAATTTTTCTTTTTATAAGGAATATCAAAATAAACTTATCTATCTGGTACCTGAGAAGCAATTATTAAATGAAAGAATTAAAAACATGCAGCTCAATAACACACCTGGTAAGTCTCTAGTTTTGTTTATTCTTTACTGAATGATTGTATCATTTTGTGTGTGTGTATATATATATATCACATTTTCCTTATCTATTCCAGTCACTGATGAGCACTTAGGCTGGTTCCATAGTTTGGCTATTATGAATTGTGCTGTTATAACCATGGGTATGCATGTATCACTATAGTATGATGACTTTTTTTCTTTAGGATAAATACCAAGGCTGGTTGTTCCATATCTAGTCTTTTTTTTTTTTGAAATCAGAGATTGAACTCAGGCACTCAACCACTGAGCCACATTCCCAGCCCTATTTTGTATTTTATTTATTTAGAGACAGAGTTTCACTGAATTGCTTTGGGCCTTGCTAAATTGCTGAGGCTGGTTTTGAACTTAAGATCTTTCTGTGTCAGCCTCCCTAGCCGCTGGGATTGTAGGTGTGTCCCATGCCTGGCATACCTAGTCTTTTGATGAATGGTGAACCTCCATATTGATCCCATAGTGGTTGTACTAATTTACAATCCCACCCAAAGTGTAAAAGTGTTTATTTTTCTCCACATCCTCTCCAGCATTTATTATTATTTGTATTCTTGATGACTCCCATTTTGACTGGAAGTATTATTATTAAAAAATATCATTATTCTGGGCTGGGATTGTGGCTCAGTGGTAGAGTGCTCACCCATCATGTGCGAGTCCCTGGGTTCGATCCTCAGCACCACATAAAAATAAAATAAAGATATTGTGTCCAACTACAACTAAAAAATAAATATTAAAAAAAATCATTATTCTGTCATAAATAATATTTTTTCCAATAAGTTAAATTTTCAAAATAATATGGAAAATATTATTATAGATAATAGAGCACTTTTGTGATAAAATGAAACGTAATTATTGTATGTCTTCCTATATTGATATTTTTATTTTTTATAATTTAAATATCAAATAAGATATTTCATTATTGATAATGCTGATGTTGGACACATGGTTTATCTGAGAGTGTACAACTGCATCTATAAAACATTTCCTGGAAAGTTCAGTCTCTAGAAAGCAAAGGCTAGGAAAAATCTAGGTTATACATGCTCAGGTTCTTATTTTCAGCCTCCCAATTTATGAAAGGGTAGAAAGAAGCTGTGAATATTGTGCCAATTTCTTCACATGGAAGAAACACCAGAATAAAAAGTTTATTTTTGTGAACTATTCTTAGAATTGTCAGTTGCCTTCTACTGATAGGGTTTATTCATATCTCCTCTCAGACTGTCTTCTTTGCATCTGATTCTTTTCTGCTCAAACTATATTACCCCGCTAACCGGGCACAATTGTATACACCTATAATCCCAGCAACTTGGGAGGCTGAAACAAAAGGATCACAAGTTAGAGGCCAGCCTCAGCAACTTAGTGAGGCTCTCAGCAAATTAGCAAGACCCTAATGAAAATAAGAAAATAAAAAAGACTGAGGATACAGTTGAGAGGTAAAGTGCTCCTTGGTTCAATCCTTTCTACCATAGTAATAATAATAACAACAACAGCAGCAGCAACAACTATATTAGTCTCCTACTGTGTCCCTCCATGGATATTCCAAAGGTAGTACAAGTCACCCCTCTTGAACTGTGCAATGAAAGAAATATATCATCAACATCATTGTTGTTGTCATTGTTGTTGCTGTTTGTGCTGTGAATGCAGCAATGTTTACTGTATTTTATTTGGAACCTGGTAGAACTACTCTTCTCTGTGGAATATGATCCATTCAGCTTTATTTATCCATACTCCAGTTAAAAATACGAAGCTTTTGTTTGGGAGTTAAATAGTACCCTGTATCCTTTTGATTCTTCTCTTCATAACAGTTACTATTTATGATTACTGACCGTTTGTCAGATACCGTGCTAGGCAGTTTTCATGCATTATTTTTTTAATCTGTGCAACAACCCTGTAATATAGTAATTCCTATTGTGCAGTGCAGGAAAACTCAGCTTCAGAGAGACTAAAGAGTTAATCAAGATTGTTTAGTGGTATTACTCAAATTCATGTCCATCTGACTCTAAAGTCACTATACTATCACATTGTCTTCCACTGATCTAATGTAGTGTTCATATACAGTTAAATTTGGTATTAAAACATGCATTATTAGTGATGCCCATTGTTATGAACAAAGAAGAAATATTTAGCTATAAAATTTTACTGATAGACATAAAACATTTCTGAATAAAAAGAGACAGTTTATGTTCATGAATGAACTTGCTCAGTGCAGAAGTACTATGCCAGTTCTCTCCTAATTCATCCATACATTCAGTTCTATTCAGGTTTCTTTAAATGAAATTTGGCAAGATACTTCACAACCTCACTTAAAAAAAATTGTAGAAGATTGAGAAAGACTTGGGGAAAAAAAAAAAAACATGGACAAACTGGGTGTAGTGGTGCACGCCTCTAATCCCAACAACTCAGGAGGCTTAGGCAGGAAGATCCAAGTTTGAGGCTAGCCTTAGCAACTTAGAAAGAACCTATTAAAATACAAAAGGGCTGGGCATGTAGCTTGTAGGACAGCATACCCCTGAATTTAATCCCTACTACCATCAAAAAAAAAAAAAAAAAGAACTGGACTTGTAGCTCAGAGGTAGAATTCTTGCCTTGGATGTGTGAATCTCGGTGTTTAAGCCTCAGTACCACCAAAAAACCCTTCTTTACAGCAAAGGAAAAAATCAAGAGCATGAAGAGAGTCTACAGAATGGGAGAAAATCTTTACCACCTGTACTTCAGATAAGGCATTAATTTCTATGATATACAAAGAACTAAAAAAAAAAACCACCAGGGCTGGGGCTGTAGCTCAGTGGCAGAGCATTTGCTTAGCATGTGTGAGGCACTGGGTTCTATCCTCAGCACCACATAAAAAAATAAATAAAATAAAGGCATTCTGTTCATCTACAACTATTAAAAAAAAAAACCCAAATAAAACAATAAATCAGTAAATGGGCAAAGGGACTAAACAGACACTTCTCAAAAGAAGTAATATGGTCAACAAATACATGAAAAAATATTTAACATCTCTAGCAATTAGAGAAATGGAAACTAAAACTACACTGAGATTTCATCTCACTGTAGTCAGAATGACAGTTATCAAGAGGCTGGGATCGTGGCTCAGTGGGAGAGCACTTGCCTGGCATGTGTGAGGGTTCAATTCTCAGCACTGCATATAAATAAATAAAGATCCATTAACAACTAAAAAAAAAAAAAGGAGAGAACACAAGTCACAATAAATGTGAGTGAAGATGTGGAAGAAAAATTTAACTCATACATTGCTCATGGGACTACAAATTGCTGCAACCACTCTGGAAAGCAGTGTGGAGATTCCTTAGAAAACTTGGAATAGAACCATCATTTGACCCAGTTATTCAACTCCTTAGCATATACTCAAAAAAAAAAAAAAATCAGCATAATCCAGGGACCTCAATATTGGTAGCAGCCCAATTCACAATAGCAGTGTTTATAGCAGCTCAGTTCACAATAGCAAATCTATGGAACCAACCTAGGTACCCTTCAACAGATGAGTGGATAAAGAAAATATGGTATTTATACCCCAATAGAATATTACTCAGCCATAAAAAAGAATGAAATGATGGCATTTGCTGGTAAGTGGATGAAACTGGAGTCTGTCATGCTAAGTGAAATAAGCTAGTCCCCCCAAAACAAATGCTAAATGTTCTCTCTGATATGTGGATGCTAACCACATCCCCCCACGGTGGGGGAAGAATAGAAGTCCATTGGATTAAACAAAGGGGAATGAAGGGAAGGGAGGGGGATAAAAAATGAAAGACAGTGGAATGAATCTGACATAACTTTCCTATGTACATATATGAACACACCACAGTGAATCTCACCATCATGTATATCCATAAGACTGGGGTCCTAATTAGAATAAGATGTACTCCATGCTTGTATAGTTTTTCAAAGTGCACTCTACTGTCATGTGTAACTAGAAAGAACCAATAAAAATATTTTAAAACCAATAATAAAAATGGGCAATAGATACTTGTAAAGATGCTCTATGTTACAAATAATGGGGAAATGAAATCAAAACTACATTAAACTGTTATTATTATAATGGATGTTATCTTAAGAAATGACTGTGAAGAAAAGGGAACCCTTGTACTCTGTTGTTGGAAAAGTAAATTGGTGCAGCCGTTTTGAAAAATAGGAAATTCCTCAAAAAATTAAAAAGAGAATGGCCATGTGACCCAGCAGCCTCACTTCTGAGTATATGTTTGAAGGAAATAAAAATCACTGTTTCAAGGAGATGTCTGTATTCTCATGTTCACTGCAGCATTATTCACCACAGCCAAGATATGGAAACAACTTATATGTCCATCCACAGATAAATGGATAAGGAAAATGTGATGTGCGCCAGTACACACACACCTCACATAAACTATGGAATATTATTCAGCTGTGAAAAAAGAAAATCCTCCCATTTGTGACACACATGAGTGCCCTTGGATGATATTATGCTAAGTGAAATAAGCTAGGCCTGGAAAGACAAAGACTGCATGATCTCACATGTGGAATTTAAAAATGTTGCACTCAGAAAAAGAGTAGAAAGGTGGTTATCAGGGTCAGAGAGTAGGGAAGATGTTGGTCAAAGGGTACACACAATTAAAGATGAATAAAGTTCTGGAGACCTAATATATAGTATGATGACTAGCTAATAATAATGTATTATATACTTAAAGTTTGCTAGGGAAGTAGACTTTAGTGCTCTTTCTGAAAGAAAAAGGTAACTATAGATGGATAGTAACCCTGGATATGATGTGATGGATATGTTAATTTGCTGCACTGAAGTAATCATTTCACTATCAAAGCATCATATTGTATACTTTAAATATAGACAATAAATTTTTTAACATAAATGTGTTTATCCTTTTGCAGAGCAATTCTTTACTATCTAGTCTTATAAAACACTTAGACATGTGCATTAAAATGTGTACAGGGGTATTTATTGCAGCATTTTTATGTAATGGTAGAAAATTAAAAACAATCTAAATGATAATTGAAAAAGGAAATGGTTGCATTAAAGAGGGAATGGCCATAATGTAGACTACGATGGAGTAGTTTTAAAGACTATTAGATCTGTATGTCCTGCTTGATGATATAACTTAAAAACAAGTTGCAGAGTAGTGTAAACAATATATTCCTACTAAAACCCATGGAACCAGGCGTGATGGCATACACTTGTAATCCCATGTTACTCAGGAGCTTGAGGCAGAAGAGGGCTGGGTACCCCTGGGTACAATCCCTTGTATGTCCAAAAAAAGATTGACTGTGCACATATGTAAGAATAAGTGCTTACAAAGGGAATAAGCTGGGCTTTGAGCTGAAGGAATACTTTTAGCTTTTTACTCTAATGCTTCATTTGATTTAAATTATACTTGATTTCTATATTTTAATACAGTTTAAAAATATACATTTGAATAGTAATTTTTTAATATAATTGACATTATAGATTTGTCCCTGGTTTCTCTATCCTTGTGTGAGCATGTAAAAAAATCATATAAAATAGAGACCCCTGTTCTTACCTCCTAAAATAATGTTACTAAATAATCCAGTTGGTAATATGTATTGAGTCCTTGCTGTGAATATTCCCCAGTTCTTGGGAACCTTATGAATAAATAGAAAGCTATTTTAGCAAAACATGTTATTAATTGAGTAATCAGTGTAGGCTGGAAACTATGCTTGGGTTTTATTTCCATCACCACATTTAATGAGATGGATGGTGTGATGCCCATCGAGTAGAAAAAGATGTGAGGACCAGATTGGTGAAACACTTTATCCAAAGTAGAGTTTCACTTCAGTTCCTGGTCTTTTTGAGTACAAAACCAATGCTTGGTACCCATTTCCTCTGAGGATCTTCCCAGTATATGATCTGGGAAGAAATGACCACTGAGTGTTTTCTCCTTCATTAGTCACATAATATGGGTACATCCTATGTATTTCTAAGTTAGCCAGATAGTAAATGACATACTGGTAACAACATAGGAAATTCTACCAAATGTAACTGTCTTGATGTTTGTATTTCAGATTCAGGGATCAGTTTACTTCATAAAAAATCTTTAGAAAAGGAAGAATTATGCCAAAGACTTAAAGAACAATTAGATGCTCTTGAAAAAGAAACTGCATCTAAACTTTCAGAAATGGATTCATTTAATAATCAATTGAAGGTATTTGTCCTCTATTATATTCATTTTGAGGTAGCTGCCTTCTCACCTTCCTTATTTTGATTGAATAGAATGAATAGCTAAAGCTGTTATTGCTATATGTTATTGCTATTATGTCATTTCATAATTTATGTTATGATTTTCAACTATACCAGAATTGCAAGATAGTTTATAATGTTCTCTAAAATGTTACATTGTATCATAAAAAATATGTCATTTACCATATTATTTACCAATTTTTGATGACTTTGTTGTCTTTTTGTTGGCATCTATACATTTCAAGAACAATTACCTTTGTCAGTATTACAAAACTGTTGTCAGTCAAGATGATCTCAGGCAATGTTCTAAAATGGAAAATATGGAAACTTTAAAAAATAGTTCTGGTATACATTTTAATTAGGATCCCAGTCTTGTGGTTGGATTAAAAAAAATAGTTCTGGTGGTAGCGGCTCTTTTAACATGCTAAATTATTATTATTATTTTGTTAAAGTATAATTTGATTATCCTTTATGAAATAATGCAATGATCAAGCAGAATCTAGCACTTTTGCATGAAAAGTTAAATTCTTTCTAGCCAGAGGAATGAGAAGTTATACTCCATTTTATGGATGATGTGTCAAAATGTATTCTTCTGTCACATATAACTAATTAGAACAAATTAAAAAAAGAAGTTAAATTCCTGATTCATTGTTTGTGTCAATGGCAGAGCAGATGTTCAAAGCACACTGAGTGCTTATCTTTCTGTGTAATGTTAGTTGTATATGAAGCCATATCTATGAAAAAGAGATAATAGAAGCTAAAAACCAGACTTTTAGCACAAAATTCATATTTGGAAATAGTCTTAGTTATTATTTTGTTAACTGGGCATAAAGTTTTCAGAGCATAAAGTATATAGCATAAAAAGTTATTTCTTTGGTTTTTATCTTGCTGACTTTATTTAAAATAACATTAACACTAATTATGGAGTAAACAACATGATAAAGAAAACACCATGGTGGCTTCAGTTAAGAAGGAGAAACTTGAGGTGAATAATGTTAATAATGTACTTTACACAGCATATCCTATATAACAATTTTTAAAGAAAACAAAATAACTTGTCATTGATGGTCAAACAAACCAGCCAAGTTATCTTCCCTACGTTTTAATTTTTTTTAATTTGTACATAGTTTAACTGGCTTTTTGTCTGCCTTATCTTACAGTGTGGGAATATGGATGACTCTGTTCTTCAGTGCCTTTTGTCTCTGCTAAGCTGTCTCAACAACCTCTTCCTCTTACTTAAGGTTATTTTCTAATATCTAGCTCCTTTTTTTTTTTTTAGTTACATTACTATTTTCTTTTTTCTTTTTAACTAGACTATTCTTTGCCTTTAAGTATCTTTGTTTGAAATAACATACAATAAAGAATTTTTCTTTCTGCTTGCTTGAATATCCTTCTGCTGTCTTACTGCCTGTTTGAGTCTAATGCCAGAAATCAGGAAGATTACACACAGTTACCTTTCTCATGAGGAGCCAACTGGTTCTCCTGCATCATCCCCAGGAGTGGAACTAACTCATGGGATGATTACTAATTGAACTCAAAGGAAAACAAGGGAATGTGAGATTAAATCACTTTCCCCATATCACTGAGAACCATTGTTTAAACTTATACCTTCTGAAATCTAGGGTATAGTTACATGTATAGACTAGGCTGCATCCTACTTCTACTATAAGTAAAAGTTTTAAAGAACCACTAATATGGGGCAGTTTTACTTAGGTCTAGTTACCAGGCTTCATATTTAGATATGCTTGGACTCTAGCTAAAAATATTTCAATTATTTATGTAAGTTATTTGCTTTCCCATGTATAACACAACAGAGTATTGAAAATGCTCAATAAATTCTTCTTTAACATGATTTAAAGAAAGGTGCTTTATTTATATTTACCACTTATTTACCCTAGTATATTTTAACTGCACATTCTACTTGATACTAAAATGGGTGGAAACAGGCAGTTGCACATATATTATGCAGTGAAAACCAGAACATTGTAATATAGCTGATTTGTTACCTGAGCAAAGGTAGGGCACTTTGGAAAGTTGGCAGTAGCATCGGCCCCATTTATTAGCCTTTATGTTTATAGCATGACTGGCCAGATTATCTGGTTTTCGAATTTTTGCTACAGATTGCACAGAAACTTAAACCTGAGTTTTTCTGTAAATTGAGATACAATGATGATTTGTGGACTGTGTTTACTCACATAGTTTGATTCTTTCAGTTCGCATTTGATTCTCTACAGGCCAGCAGATTTTTCTTGTCTCTTGTTTTACTTTCTTCCTTTTGCTTCCTGCCTTCTAGTCTTTTACTGCTTATTGTTAATTTCATCAGAGGCAATTTAGGAAAATACAAGGATGAAAATATTCTGTCAGAGTGATCAGGAGACTTGACTGTGTTATCATAGAAAGCAAGAAAAGAGGTCTTCTGTAGTCATTGTAAAATGATACAGAGTGATCAGAGAGCAGTATTGAAAAGTATCTGTTGACTGTCAACAAGGAGGCTTTGAAGATCTTGCTGAAAGTGCCATTTCAGTTGAGTGATAAGCAGAATGTGGATTGCAGTGGATGGGGAATGAATGGGAACAGAAGAAGGATTAAGTGAGTAGGAACAACTCTGAGGAGCAGGAAGAGAGCATGGAGTGAACAGAGAACTGGAGGGAGTTGGTGGTAGGGGGTCAGGGGGAGCTTTAAAGAAAGACTTGAGAGGAAAGGAGGGAAAGGGAGATGGAGATTGAAGTTAAAAAATGGTGATAATTGAAAGAGCATGGTCCCTGAGGAAGTAGATATAGAATCCAGAGCATAGATTAAAGGAATATCTAAAAAAATATTTTCAGTGTTGCATACAGGAGAAAGATATATATGAATGCAACTAAACTCGTTGGTGGAGAGTAGAAAATTGACAGATTCAAGATTTAAAGTTAGAAGTGAATTGTACCATCACAAAAAATGTGTCTGGGTGAGTGAGGAAATGGAATAACACCTTAGACCTGAATAAGGGGGGTATAGATACAAGAAGTGTTGCTGATTTGAGATGGACAGCTGAGGGACTTCTGGTCTGATGGCTTGATGAAGCAGGGTTTTAGCTGATAGTGAAGAGAATGATGGAAGGTGAAAGATGTTTCAGGAAAGAGAAGTAGGCATAAAATAGACATATAGAGTGAGGGTGGTGCAGGCTTGATAGAGAAAAACAGTGTTTTGAGCTATGTTAGTTGCCCCTTTGAAGTTGAAGGTCACACCTAATTGAATGATTTTTCTCTGTTAATGTTCAGCTGCTTAGATATAAGCACAGAGAAGTCTGATGAAGTGGGTTTGGAATTTTAATAGACATGGGCCAAGAGGAAGGGACAAGGGAATCACAGATCTTAACATAAGAATTATGATAAAAGATGAACTCTGAAATATGAACCAGATATGATAGGAAGGGAGTGCTGATGAAGAGAAAATGATGAGGTCAACAGAATGGAGGACTCAAGTTAAAAATTTGTTTAAATGCCTATACCAGGTATAAGAAAAGATCAAAGGCTAAGAACTTATGCTTGAGAAATGGGGTGTTTATCAGTGGTAATTCTGTTTCTGATGGTGATAAGACTTGGAGTATACTATTGAGAATGGTAGATTAAATGGAATAAAAAGGTCATTGGTGAAGAGATAGCCTCATAATTGAGGGTTGGGCCAGGTGGGTAGGGGACTGCTGAGGATGGAACCCAAGCTTCACACATCCTAGGCAAGTGCTCTATCACTGAGCTATACTGCCAGCCCTAAAGTTGAGGTTTTGATTGAGTCATCTATCTATGTGTAGGATGAGTGAATGAGGATCAGTGACCAGGTGATCAATAGGTGACAATAAAAACGAAGGGAGAGAGTGATATTGCTGGATAGTATGAGTCTCAGAAAAGCATCTAGTTTATAAGAGTCTAGGAATGGCAGTGAACCAGCAAGGAAAATGCTACAGTTTTTCCCTGGCCCTGATGTGAATAGATTATGAGAGATCAGCTAAGAAGGTAAGGAAATTTCCATTCAGAGAAGAAGTGTTCATATGAGATCCCCTGGTCACAAAGAGCAAGTTCCAGGAGAGTGAAACTGTTGGGGAGATTATGTGTGAGGAATTGAGTCAGATCATGGGATAAACAGAGATGTGACTAAGAATGACAAGAGGGTTTTGGAGGAAGATAAGTACTTTGTTCTAATGCTGTGGCCCTTTGTGACAGTTGAGCATCTGGAGTGATTGATTTTTCCTTTAGGCTAATTGTAGTGAAAACAGAAGTATAACATTTAAAAATATTTATCTTAGAAAGTTATGTTTTATTTATTGACCGTGAAATATATATATACAGAATCAGTAATAATTTTTACTCTTTTAATCAAGTGATACCAGGACACATAGCAAAACCAGTAGGTTCAAAGGTGAAACATTGAACAGGCCATTATTCATTAAGAAAATTGAGGGGCTTGGGTTGTGGCTTGGTGGCAAAGTGCTTGCCTAACATGTGTGAGGCATGGGGTTCAATCCTCAGCACTACATAAAAATAAATGAATAAAATAAGAAAAAAAGAACATTTAAAAAAAAAAAGAAAGGGGCTGGGGCTGTAGCTCAGTGGCAGAGCCCTTGCCTAGCACGCGTGAGGAACTGGGTTTGATCCTCAGCACGACATAAAAATAAACAAATAAAATAAAGGCATTCTGTCCATATACAACTATAAAAAATTTTTTTAAGAAGAAAATTGATATGTTGTTCAGTAGTTAGCAGTCAAATGCAAAGAAAAAATGCTGGCCTAGAAATCTGAAAAAATGAGTTCTAGTCCTATCCATGCCATTGGCTAGTTGTGTATCCTCCAAATTTTGCTTTATTCATTTATAAAACAAAACTCACTCATTTATAAAACAAAACTCACTCCTCTCCCCTGTCTTTTTTGCAGGGTCTTATGATAATTAAAGGAAATAGCACACACAGAAGTGCTTTGTGAACTCTTATGTGCTGTACAAGTAGTTTTGTTATTCATTCAGGAAGAAGCTGTCCAGAATCTCCAAAATACCTTTAATGTGTTGGCAAGTCATCACTGCTGACTTTGTGTAATGACTGGGAAAATGCTTTTCCTTAGGGAATAGAATCTGTCAACATCAGAATTGCAGCTTCCAGTGGGCTAGGTCTTCTCCTATACTCCCAAGGATATGGGATAACCTATGTTAGTTACATCACTCCAGGTGGCAGATGAAATTTTGATTTACGCAGGTAACAATAAGACTAGTTTGGGAATGAGGAACACTAGTCCTTTGGATTGTAAATTAAAACTTAAATGAAGTATGTGCATTAGATGTTACAGAAAACATTTCCCAAACTCATAATGTAGTAATTAAGGAAGTATTTCCTTTCTTCCTTCACAGATTTTTAGGTTTGCCTTTGGAACCTCTTTTCTCCAAAATGGGATGTAATAGGAGGAAGTGAGAGCCTTAAGAACTGCAGGGAGACATATAAGAACTGCTGGATAGAAATAGAAACATAGAAACATAGAAAAATAGAAACATGGTTTCTAAAGCACAGCCTCTTAACCATTTTTATGCCATGGATTCTTTAGCAGTTTAGCAAAATCTCTAGACCATTTGTCGAAATAATATTTTAAATGCATAAAATGAAATAGGTAGGATTGTTTTTTTAAATTACAATTTATAAAATATTTTTTAAAACATTTTGATACATTTATATATATATATATGTGCTTCTATATTAATAAATAACAAGATCTAGTGTTAGATATACCATTTTTGAGTCAAGAAATATGTATGTATCAAGTTATCTATGAAATAAAAATCTGATTTTTTTGGTGAAAAATGTCACAAATACAAGTAAGTAGTACTACTGTAGTAAGTTGCTTATATTTGAACTAGAAGAAAATCTATATTTCAGAAAAAAAATGGTGAAAGTTAAGATTAATTTGTGTTTCAGTTCATGGACCTAAATTTTGTTTAAAAAAACTAATACCATAAAAACTAAGTAGATCAATCTAACCAAGTGATCAAATGTAATATTGTCAAAGTGGGACAAACCAGTGTTGTGTTTCTCCTAATGGTGCAATATATCTGAGAAGAAGTCAACATCACTTCGATGCTACTTTTGCCAGAAATATATGAGTCCAAGTGTGAGGAAATGGAGAAACCACATTTTGGTTTGTTCTGTTAAACAGCTGATTAGCCCAACCATACTCTAAAGATGAGAATCTTGTAAAATGTGGAAAAACTCTTCCAGAGTAAAGGGAGCTAAAGAGCCGTGCTAAGAGGAGACGAAGGAGATGTGATAGCTAAGTGCAGTGTATGATCCTAGATTGGATCATGGATTTTTTTTTTAAAGTCATTACCAAAGCAGATATTTACAGTTAGGGAAATTTTTTAATATGAACTCTATATTAAATATGTCATGTTTAGTTTCTTTAGTTTGGTACTCGCATTCACATTGTAGATATGTAGGAAAATGAAGCATTTAGGGTGAAAGCAATCAGTGTCCACAATTTAGTTAATTTTCTGTAGTTTTGAAAGTTATTAAAAATAAAAAGAGAAAATTTAGAGTTAGGAAATACTCTCAAGTGTTTGTGAAACCTATAGAAGTATATTGTAAAGATATAAAGGTAATAAGTAAATTAGCCAAGGGCAAAAAACAGTGTTGAGAAATGGAAAAGAGACAGAATGTAAATGAGCTGATTCTTCATATTTCATATCAAGAGTAAATAACTTTTTCTAATTCACTAATCAAGTTATACTAACAATAGCAAGTATTTATTAATGGATTTCTCAGTCGTGGCACTATTCTAATATTAATTTATCTTAACCCTATCACAGAGGTACTGTTCTTGTTCACATTTTACATAGGAGCTAATTAAGAAAAAGAAGTCAATCTGCTCAATGTCACACAAACTAGTAAATGGCAGAGCCAAAATTCAATCCAGATAGTTAAGGTGTTACCTTAAGTGGTTATATTAGAGGAGAAAAGTGTTCTACGTAAGCTAGAAAAAGAATAGCATGATATCAATAAATAAACCAAAGACAGTAGAAGTAAATTAGTGAAATAGAAAACAAAGACATTTAATACAGAGAATCAAGAAAGCTAAAATTTGATCCTTTAAAAGACATAAGATGGGGCTAGGGTTGTGACTCAACAGTAGAGCGCTCACCTAGTACATGCGAGGCACTGGGTTCAATCCTCACCACCAAATAAATTAATAAAATAAAGGTATTATATCAACTACAACTAAAAAAAATTTTAAAAAAAGAATAATAAGATTAACAAACTTTTGGAAAGACCAGATTAAAAAAGAAAAAGCAGAGTAAAGAAAATTAGGAGTAGAAAGGAGATATAACTACATATACAACAAACACTAAAAGATAAGATAGTATGACACAATTTTACATACAAATATGAAAACTTAGGTGAAATGAGCAAGTTATAATTTTCCAAAAGTGACTCAAGAAGAAGCAAAATATCTAAATATTTCTGTCTATATTTAACATTTTAAATCTGTAGTTGAAAATGTTCCTTAAAAAAAGTATCCAGATCCAGTGATTTTACTAAAGGCAAGTAATTCCACTTGTTTGTAGCTGTTTCAGAATACACTTGTTTAGCTGTTTACACTTGTTTGAACTTAATATTCTCCTTATTTATGATTTCAACCAGTAATAATAGCTAATATTTTTGAGAATTTAACCATGAGTCCTTTGCTGTTGTAAGCACTTTACATGTATTAACTCATTGTATCCTCACAACTCTCTGAGGCATGTACAGATGAGGAAATTCTAACTTTCCTTAAAAAACAAAACAAAACAAAAAAACCCTGTTTCGTCATTGACAGAGCTTAATTTAAAACTCGGTGGTCTCAATATAGACTCATGCTTCTTATCACTAAACTACATTGCTTATCCATAGATTGTAGCCACTACATTTTTTGCTTTTTGATAGAATTTAGGGAAAAGTGCAACAAATAAAAACTGAAGCTGAGCACTATGGAAACTTTGCTGTGAATGCATTATTTATATCATTGACTTAAGTTGCAAGTATTTTTGCTCACACGTTTTGGATGAAGCCTCTGGACACAACATATACTTAGATTTACCATTTTAATCAAGTTGAAGTGGCTGACCTATAAAATAGTTTATTTCTGGAACAAAAAGAATCTTGTTTGGTTTTGGTTTGGAGTTTTGTTATTATGCGTTGGTCGATACCAAAAACATTTTTTACCACAACATTATACCTAAATATTGTCTTGGTCCCACTTTCGCTATGAAGTTTCTTTTGATTACTTTTAAGTTTTTTGTTTGTTTTCTCTTTCTTCCAACTTTTTGTTCTTCTCTCTTGTTATGGATTTTGTAGATTCCAAGCAAAAGAAATTCAGTTCAAAATGGATAAGCTAGCGAATGATTATTGAAAGAATATCAGGATGACTGAATTGTTAAAAGAGCTGCTGGACAAGGGCAATTCTGGTACACTGAGCAGTGGAATTGAAGAGTCCGTGTCCCTTATTCCCCTTCTCTCCGCTTCCATCTCTGGTCTTTTCTTTTTATATACATTAACTTAATTCCTGCCACTCATGGGTTTGCTTGGTAACCAAACATGTCCAGCTGTATTTTATCTCAGCTTAATGAGCCCAGAGAAAGGAAAGATTCTGGCCCCACTTGGTCCTTTAGACCAATCATTTTGTGCAGGGAGGTGAGGTACGGTGGTCGTTTAGAAAAGAGTAAATGATTGACCCTGGGTAGGAATGGGAAGACAGATCTGCCAAAATACATGGGATGGGGAGGGCAAGGAGATCAGCTTCCCAAAGGAAGAGTGCTGTAAGAAGGGGGAAAGAATACAAATTTCTGCTAAGGCACTTAACTATATTTCACATTTGACACTTTTCTCTGCTTTGAGATTATATGCTCTTTGAAGGGAAAGACTGTATACTTGGATGTCAAGCAACTTGGGATTGGATCCCCTTTTAATCCATTACAGTACTTTGCATACAACTAGATGCTCAATAAGTATTTCAATTCCTGTTTGGAATGCATTTCGTTATTTTGGCTTATTTTAGTCATGGTTTTAGGCAAACATTATCTTTTGCATTTTTAATTTTGGACTAAATTGTTTAATAATTGCTTCTATGTTTAGTTCAATATCTTATTGGATAAAAGTTACTGATAACTTGATATAAAAAGCATAACCAAACAAAATTCCTCTTAAAATGTTATTACAAGCAGATTGTTCCACCACATTTTTAATGAATTGCTTTTTTACTTAAAATGACTTTCCAAATCATTTTGGAAACAAAGAGTTGTTTGGTTAAATAATCTGTGTTCCCTAGAAATGAACTGATGTGAAAGTAGGTAATTTTAACCTGTATTTGTCTCAGTGGCTACATGGCTTAAATACTACTGTATTTAAGATTTTTTTATCATCTAGAATATTTTTTAAAATGTTAAATCTTTTAAATTTAGTTTGACTTGCTTTAGGATTTTTGTCCTTTAATGCAAATGTCACATTATTACATTAGATAAAAATATGTAAATTATTTGAGTGTTGACTTATTTCCATTTTATCCTTAGGAACTGAGAGAAAGCTACAATACACAGCAGTTAGCCCTTGAACAACTTCATAAGATCAAACATGACAAATTGAAGGAAATTGAAAGAAAAAGATTAGAGCTAATACAAAAAAAGAAACTAGAAGATGAGGCTGCAAGGTAGTATAATTGATAAATTTACTATACTGTATTGTTATTAGAATTCTGATTTTGTTGCCCATATCTTTAATTTGTCTGAAAATTTAGGGGTGATAAAAGGATTATGCTAGGATGCTAATCAGAGTCTAAATTTTATGAATTTGATCCTTCTTATAGGGACCAAGTTTTCAGTAGCCAGTTTTATATTCCATTCCAAATACAGCCTTTGAAGTCAGATCTGGATTAGAATTTTTAGTCTAACACTACCTAAGTGACCTTGATTAAGCCATTTTACCATTCTGAACCTCAGTTTCTCCATCTGAAAAGAGTCATTATGCGTCCTTGTAGGTAATTGAGTATTAAATAAAATAATATAGCTAAAGAACCAAGTATATGCCTATAAATACATACAATTGTAATTTTTTAGATTTAATTCTGTTACTCAAGTTTTGTGTTTTGAGTGGTGTTTTGTAATAATGCATTTATAATCAAATAAATTTATAAAAGTGAAAAAAAGAATGAAGTATAACATCCTGCATATAATAAGCACTCATTAATACCATTTCTCTGTAGTTAATCTGTTACTTTGTTCTGACAGATTATAAAAATGAAATAGTTAACTCTCTCAAGTAATTCATGTAATTCTCTTTATGCCACTGAAATATTGAATCGTCATATATGGAAGCCTAGAACCATTTTTTTAGAGACTTTGCATCATTTTTTTTTCTGTCCATAAGATCCTATTTTAAATATATTTCTTTGTTTCTCACAAGTTCTCCACTATCAGAAATTAGTGTGATTAATCAACAAATATCAATGAACCAATATTCCTTTTCCTTGGTGAAGAGTAGATAAGTTTATGTCTGTGAAAGAGCTCATTACTGGGGAGGCAAAAGAGACACATGCTACCATTTAGCAGACTCTATTCTTCTTTTTTTTTTTTTTTAACCGTCTATTTTTATAGGGTTCCTCATACATGTTAGGGAAGCACTCTACCACTGAATCCCACCCCCAGCCCTAGTGGACCTCTATTCTAAATAGCTTCAAAATAACTTTGAGCACATTTTTATTGAGTGCTGCTGCTATGTTGCAAGTGGACACAATACCTTTATTTTATTTATTTTTATCTAGTGCTGAGGATCGAAACCAGCGTCTTGCACGTCCTAAGCGAGTGCTCTACCACTGAGTCACAACCTCAGCCCCTGGATTCCTTGTAATTTTAATAGGGGATTCAGACAATTAACTAAATTGCTGTAATATTTTTTACTTTAATACCCACATTTTCATGGTCTCCTAGCCAGAGATAATAGAATAATATAGAAGTAGATATAGAGGAGTTCTTCACTTGTTAACATTACATAAAGGAACTATGCAGTTTACATAACTACATATAATCACTATGTCGGAATTTTCTTTTGATATACATGAAATTATCATTGATAATTATTCATCTCACAATTCTTTTCAGGCCAGTAAACCAAACTAATAATGCATGTTTTCATTTCATTAGTAATACATGTTTCATATTAGTTGAAATTAAGTAAGGACTACAAGTAAAAGCACTGTCCTCATTTCATTCATTTTTCTTGCACATAATCTTAACTAGGGTAGGAAAGAAATTAAAGAGAACAGAAGGACATGTAGGATCTAATTGATTCAGAGCTAGGTGACAGTACTACATTTTGGTTTGCTTGTTAATTTGCCCAGGTATGTTCCCTTCTTGTTCCAAACTATTGGTAATAGGTTCTCACATTGTAGATGTGGCATCTTTGCCTTTTGTCCCCTTTCTGAGGCATCTTCTGGCACTGGACCAATTTCTCATTCACTAGCTCTTTCATAAGAAAGTTTACTAGAATTTAATGAACTTTCTGATGTTTTCAATGTCCAACTACATATGTGGTAAGTACTCTGATAATGGTGTTCATAAGACTGTGGGAAGTTAGTTAAGTCAGTAAATATCCTGGTCTCGGAATGGTGTTAGGGAAAGTTACAGAGGAACTGGGAAAGGGAATATTATTTGAAATTAAGTAAGGACTACAAATAAAAGTACTGTCCTCAAGGGAGCCCCACATTTCAGTTATGGAAACTTCTGGAAGAAGTATCCTAAGACATGATAGGGTATATAGGAGGATTTAGGAAGGGTTGAAAGGAAGCTAGTAGCAGGATACTGGGCCAGTACTATGAAGTATAAGACAGTTTGGGACAAAGAGAAAGGATTAATGACTAAGAGCCTATAATTTATGTTTTATTCAGGATTTCTAAATTCCTTCCGGAATAGACTGAGAATTAAGCCAAGATTCCCACTTTGATGGGGTATAAATGTACCCTAATCCATGGGTATAGCTGACCATGGTCTCACCTGCCCCAAATAATATTAAAGTTTAAAGAATAATTTAGTGGTGTCCACTCCACATCTGAATACAGTCATAAAAATGCATGCAATGGAGTACTATAATGTGCATTAGTTCTAATGCTAAAATAATTAAGTCTAATCACAAATCATCTTGATTGTCATATGTCCCAGAAAAATGCACAGAAACATGACTAAATGAGAAAAAAAAAATGCTTTGTAAGCTAGTGTGAAAAACTTTTTGAAGGGAAAATATAAAAAATAAACTTTCCAGAAGCATTTCAGCAGTTGATGAGTCCATAAAACAGGGGCAGATAGTATAGCAGGAATGAAAGCTAAAAGGCAGTCCTTGTGAAGAATCTAGAGAAAAAATTTTAGATTTGTTTGCCAAAAGGTTCATTTCAGCTTTTTTTTTTTCTTTTTGGGGGGTTGGGAAGTTGAATGGCAAGAGGAATGGGAGGGTATGGAAAGTTGTTCAGTCATACTATCCAGCTCACCTATAGTCTTAAGTTTCCTCTTTTAATTGATTGGTTGGTTAATTGACTTCCCTTCATCCCTGAATCCCACTGTTTCTTCCCATCCCTGTAGTACTACTTTTTTACTAGTTCTCCAGCTACTTAAAGTAAGAAATGATTTGTATTTTCACTAAGTACAAAAATAATTCTTAGGACATTATGCAAACTTTCTTTTATTTAAAGGAAAGCAAAGCAAGGAAAAGAAAACTTATGGAGGGAAAGTCTTAGAAAGGAGGAAGAAGAAAAACAAAAACGACTTCAGGAAGAAAAAACACAAGAAAAAATTCAAGAAGATGAACGAAAAGCTAAGGAGAAACAATGTAAGGATATGGCTAAAAGATTTGATTTTCAGAGGCAAAGCAATAAAAGCAATAATAAAAGATATCTGATGAGAAGCAAAAGAAGAAAAACAAACAGAAAGTTACTAATCTTAGAGTTAAGATAATCTTTTTAAAGTTAAATTTGGATGAGAACTATATAGAGATATTAAAACAGACTGAAGGTAGAAATCTGAACATAATGGGAGGAAAAAAAGGTTGTTACCACCAACAGCAAAGACCATGTCATGGTTTTCAAAACTGAAATAAATTGTTTTAAATATTTTACTCAACCAGCATAACTAAACTATTTTAGTGAAACAACAGTAAAATTTTAAGTAATTTTTTCCGAAGATATACTTTGTTTTTGTTACACTTTGGAGTCTGTTCCTAAAATACCTTAATATTATATCCTCTTTCTGATGCATAAGCTTTGAATTCATATTAATGATACAACGTGTTCAAAATTTTTACAAGTTAAAGCATGTATTCTAAAAATTTAAAGTAAAACATTTTTAATCTTATCAAATCCAGTAAATTTGGAAATTCTTCTATTGTTTTTTCCTTTAGAACTATACTGATAAATCTAAAATCTTTCTTCAGCCAACCCTGTTTACTAGCTGATATTCTCATTGTGACCTCCCTTTGTGTGCTTTTCTTTTGTAATATTCTGACCTCAACACGTATCCCCTTAGTCACCTTCTACTTGGCCTGCCTGCACTCCCACAGACCCTTCAGACTGAAGCCGTCTCTCTGTTTTGCTGCCTCCCACTTTACTTCAGTTGAATATCCATATTTGCTTTTATAGTGGTTATAAGTAGTGAAGATACTTAAATCCTCAAAAGTCTTTAGCAGAAGGATTTTCACAATACTTTTCTATTAGATTTTAAGAGCTCTTTATTGAATCATAACAAAGATATGAATACATGAAAACAAATTGTGATAATTTTCTTCTCTTTAGGTGAGACAGCTAGTGCTATGGTGAATTATAAAGCATTATACCCCTTTGAAGCAAGGAACCATGATGAGATGAGTTTTAATTCTGGGGATATAATTCAGGTAGGAAATAAAGTCTTTTTTCACTCTCATGATAAACTAAATACATTATAATACATTGCTTTCTGTAATAATATTGATTATACTGAATTTTTTTTTTTTTTTTTTTTGGTAATAGGAATTGAATCCAAAGACACTTAACCACTGAGTCACATCCCCAATCCCCAGCCCTTTTTATTTTTTATTTTGAGGCAGGGTCTAGCTAAATTGCTTAGGGCCTGGCTAAGTGGCTGAGGTTGGCCTTGAACTTGTGATCTTCCTGCCTCAGCCTCCTTTCACTAGTATTATAGGCATGTTCCACCACACCCAAGAAATATTTTAAGAAGATAAGTAACTATTGATTTATCATGTGGCCCTACAACATACCTTAGAGCTACATGGGACAATTATTATTACTGTTATATTCTCGGAAGGAAGCTTAGACTCACACAAATTGTATCTGTCATCACAATGCCAGAGAGGGATACAAGTGTGTGTCTTTTGATTCCAGTTTCAAATCTTGTGTTCTTTCCACTATGCCATATTGCTTCACATCATAAAAAGTGATATTGATTTTGTTAATTTAATAAATTAACAATAAAATATTGAGAAGCTGGTTGTTTTTTGGCAACTGTTGAAAGAGTTGAAGGTTTTAGATGCAGGCCATTTATTCCTTGGAATAATAGGTCTTTATTGTATTCTCATAATCCACATAAAATGGATGAATAAGAGAAGATGCAGGGAATTGTGTTTGTTAGATCCACTGTGAGGCAATTCTAAAGTATAGGCTTTAGAAACACAAACTGGAATTTTAATCTCTATATAGTATGTGAATTATGTATCAGTAAGACATTATTAAAAACAAAGAGCTGGGTTGGGGTTGTGGCTCAGCGCTTGACTTAGACGTTCGAGGCACTGGGTTGGATCCTCAGCACCACATAAAAATAAATAAATTAAATAAAGGCATTGTTTCCATCTACAACTAAAAACAATAAAACAAAGAGAGAGAGAGCTGGATACAGTGATATACTTCTGTAATTCCAATTACTTGGGAGGATGAGGCAGGAGAATTGTAAGTTCAAGGGCAGACTATGCAACTTAGCAAGACTCTGTCTCAAAATAATTTTTTTAAAAAAGATCAGGGATCATAGCTCAGGGGCAGACTGCTTGCACAAGACGTGCTTGTTAAATCCCCAGAAGTGGAAAAAAAAAAAAAAAGAAGTTAAATATGTACCTACCATATGAATCAACCATTCCACTCTTAGGTGATTACTTAAGAGGATTTAAAGCATATATTCACTTAAAGACAAATGTTCTTAACCATTTTATTTGTAATAACTAAAAACTGGGAAAAACTAAAATGTCGAATGGAGGGAGTTAAAATGGTATATCCAATCAATGTAATTACATAGGAATAAATCTTACTTACTGCAACATGGATAGATTTCAAAATAAATACATTAAGAGAAAGAAGATGACAAAAAGGATATTGTATGATTTTATTTATATAAAACTCTAGAAAATGCAAACTAATCTATGGTGACAGAAAGACCAGTGTTTGCGCAGAAACGCGGAAGGAGCAGTAGAGGAGGGAGGGAGGACTTATAATGGAGCAAGAGGAAACTTTGGGGAATGATAAATATGTTCATTATTTTTATTGTGGTGATTTTTACAGTCACATGAACATGTTAGGACATGAAATTCAGCAAGTTAAATGTGAAGTTTAGGTTAATTATACTTCAATAAGTTGTTTGTAACCAGGCACAGTGGTGCACACTTGTAATCCCAGAAACTCAGGAAGCTGAGGCAGGAGGATTGCAAGTCTGAGGCCAGCTTGGGCAACTTAACTAAGAACTTCAGCAATTTAGCGAGACCCTGTGTCAACATAAGAAATTAAGTTTGGGGATGTAGCTCAGTGGTAAAGTGCTCCTGACCTCAAAAATGTTAATGGATTCTACATGATTTTAATAGTTGTAACCCTGTCAAATCAGTGGTTTGCAAAGGTATGGGAAGTAAAGTGGAAATAAGCAGATACATACTATGCTAGATGGAGTTAATGAAAAGGCTCCACAGACAAATGGAGGAGATTATATGTACATCAATAATACAGTATGAGGGGCTGGGGTTGTAGCTCAGTGGTAGAGCACTTGCCTAGCATGTTGAGGCACTGGGTTCGATCCTCAGCACCACATAAAATAAGTAAATAAAAGACATTGTGTTCATCTACAATTAAAAAAAAGTTTTAAAATAATACAATATGATAATACTGATTATAATAGTATATATAAGATAAGTGGCTGGGTTGAGGGCAAAATCTTGAAGGATGAGTGAAGGTTACAATTATCTTAGGTATTATATAATAAATTCTACCATAGGTTAGTGAGGATGGGGTTGAAAAAAGTTCAGAAGTTTTTAGTGCAAGGCTAGGAGTTTGGCTGCAGAAGTATAGTAGAGGTAAGAACCACACATTTTTTTTTTTTTTTTACAATGACTAAGTCATTGGTGGTAAGAATAATAGAAATACAGAAAAATTAGGTGAAGGATGGGCCAGGGGTGAGGGGGTGTAGAGAAAAGTTCAGTCTTAGACTTCAATTGGAAGTTTCATGGGACAGCTAGTTGAAAATATCCTGCAAAGAGTTGAAGGTGTAAGTGGAAGTCAGTTCTGAAGATAGAGCTATAGGGTTAATTATTGCAGAGGGAACTGATCAAGCTGAGGAGCAAATGGGTTTGTTAAAAACGTAGAGTGTGAGGCAAAAAAGCCAGTGATGAAACTTGTGTTAAAGGGACAGGAACCAAGAAGCAGAGCAAGAAACACTGATGAATGGAGGTTGTCTTACTAGGAGGGAAATATCTGGGAGAAGTGAAACCGGTAAATCACCTAATACATTTCTCTAGTTAGAGAACAGTATTCAGAGGTTTTTCTAGTTCTGTTAGTTCAGGAGTTCTGTAATAAGCTGGATATGGTAGCACAGGGCTGTAATCCAAGGTACTTGAAATGAGACAGGTGGATCACAATTTAAAGACCAGCCTCAGCAACTTAGCAAAATCTGGTCTTCAAAAAATTATTTATTTTAGCTGTTGATGGACCTCTGTTTTATTTATTTATTTATATGTGGTGTTGAGAATCAAACCCAGTGCCTCACACATGGTAGGCAAGCACTCTACACAACCGTAGCCCTCAAAAAAAATTTTTAAATGAAAATAGAGGCTAGGAATGTAGCTTAGTGGTAGAGCATGTGCCTCAGTGGTGGCATACATGAGGCCCTGGATCAATCCCCAGTATTGTGAAAAAAAAAAATCTATTGGAAAATTAAAAGTTTACAAGAAAAGAAATGTAATCAGAACATTGCATGACTCAGATGTGAAATATTTACATAGTCATAACATAACATTAAATATAATTTAACCAAAAATTATGATGTAACAATATTGGCAGTGTAAGAGGGTGTAGTGAAAGAGGGGTAAATTTTAATTTTTCCATAACCATATCTTATTTAGAAATATAAATGGTAATAAGAAGAAACAACTAAATGGCATGTTACTGTTAGGAATGGAAGTCAGGGCATAAGGACCCTTGAAGTGGGGCAAGATTGTTTTCTCTCATAAGCTGTTAACTGTTTTCATTTATTAATTTGGATAAAATTTAAAATGATAACTTGTCAATTCTTGAAATAGCAACCTAATTATTTAAAAATTCCTTAGCTATTTAGTTAAATGGATTTAATTCTGTAAAAGAGAATATTATACAACAGTCTGCATATCTTTCCATTATAAATGTGTAGATTTCTAAGCACTGTTCACCTCTTTGTTTCTATAGGTTGATGAAAAAACTGTAGGAGAACCTGGTTGGCTTTATGGTAGTTTTAAAGGAAATTTTGGCTGGTTCCCCTGCAATTATGTAGAAAAAATGCCATCAAGTGAAAAACCTGTATCTCCTAAGAAGGCCTTACTTCCTCCTACAGTATCTTTATCTGCTACCTCAACTTCTTCTGAGTAAGTTTTGAGCTAACAGTGGGATTTATATAGTTCTACCAACTAATGTAGTATGCTAATGTGGAGCGGGTCGACCTGATGCTTCCTCGTGTTGTTAATCCGGGCTGTACTCCCCCAAGAGAACCTTTTTTATTCCATATCTAATGCTGAAATTTTAAAAAGGAAAACATAGGTTTTTTCATGAATTCTGTTTTTCCACAAATTATGTTTAGTGTATATAATATACAAGTGGATAGTATACTTGTAAATATAGTATGTATTAGGGAGACCATATTAGTCTATAAAAATTGATAGTACTTTATTAGATTTTTAAACAATTAAGTATACTTACATTAAAGTGTTACGTTTGCAGACCACTTTCTTCTCAACCGGCATCAGTAGCTGATTATCAAAATGTATCTTTTTCAAACCTAACTGTTAATTCATCATGGCAGAAAAAATCAGCTTTTACTCGCACTGTGTCCCCTGGGTCCATATCACCTATTCATGGACAGGTATGTTATTCATAATTTTTGTGTGCTTTATTCTTTGAATTTGCTTCTGATTCATATGAAATAGAATAAAGATTTTTGTACAAAAATATCATTCACTCATTTAACCAGAGTTTGTAGCATTTGGTTTCTGTTCTTACCATTCACTTGTGGTGCAAAGTTAAGGAGTGATTATTACCTAAAGGATTCTCATCAATGATTCATTCCCATAGTATCAAGTAGAAGATAAGCTGTTTGGGGCTTGAGGGTTTTGGTTGTTTTGTCTTAAATTTAAGTAATTTGAGAACCCTGGAAAATATATATGTATACATATATAAATTTTACATACATACACATATATATGTACACATATATATATATATATGATATATACATATATTTATATATAACCTCTGATTTAGTATAAACATTCAAAGTATTGATACATTAGCATTGTTAAAAAGAAATTTCAGATTCCATTAAAATAAAGCCCTACAGATTCACTCAGGAATGTTTATTACATGATTATGGGTTCCAGCATTTTATTATGAAGTAGAAATTTAAAGAAAAATAAGTCAAAATACCTTTCAGTTAGTAATTCATAAATTAATAAGGGAGACAGATATAAATAAGTGTAAAATGTGAGAAATTATATAAAGATATCTACAAATCCCTGAGAGGGGAGAGAGCATGTTGTTCAATCTGTGTGAATTGGAGCAGTCTTCATGAAGGGAATGTATTTTAGTGGGACCTTCAAAGATAAGCCAGATTTTACCAAACTGAAGGGGAGTTACTCAAGTGAAAGATCAGTTTGAGAAAAGTCACTGAGGCACGTTAATGCACAGTGTTTGCAGGAAGCAGGAAGAAATATATAGTATAGCTGTAATATAGGGTTCATGGAGAAGTGAAACTGGAGAGAGAGGTTGAGGTTTATTAATAAGGGAAGCATTTACCACCCTGCTAAGCAACTTGTCAGTGAAAAGCCAAGAAAGGTTTTTAAGAGAGGAGTTGAGGTATATGCTTAAGAAGGATAACCCTGGCAGTGAAGTAGAGGCCAGACTGGCAGAAAGAAGCAAAGCAAGGGAAACCGTTATGGCAGGCTGTTAAGCAACTAAGTAACAAGAGATGCTGGTGTGAACCAGGGTATAGTCACGAAAATAGAAGAGGAGATGGCTTTAGAAAAGTGTTAGGACTTGACACGAAGTAGATAGCCCATTGAATGTGGAGAGTGAGGAAGATGGAGATAAAGATAATTCTTCAGAATCTTTAGCTTGAGCAACTGAAAGGACAGTGATAACGTTGTCTTCAGTAGGCAGTGGATGAGGAGTGGGTTTGAGGGGTTCTAAAATGGTTACATTTCAGACGGCTAAGTTCAAGGTGTATGTAATAGACAACCTGGCGGAGATACTAGTAGGCATTTTGATGTAGGACCTGGAGCTCAGGAGGTAAAGTTACCCTGAAAATACAGATTTGAGGTCTTGGGCTAACATGAGGTTATTTAAGGAAAGCATGTGGAACAGTGAGGGATGAGGGCTGGACAGAATAGGAGCCCTCAGTCACCAGGGGGCAGGCTTCAGGAACTACAAGGGTTTTAGTGATGTCAGCACTGCGCAGAGATCAAGGAGAATAAAAATTTCAGAAGGAACTTTTTGTTTTGATGTTATTATCAATAACCTTTTCTGGAAGAGGTTCAATAGAATGATGGTGCAGAACCTAAATTAGAAGGGATCAAGGAGTGACACTGGAAAGCAAGTTGAAGACTATTTCTTTCCAAATTTAGAAGTAGAAGAAAGTAGAGAAGTAACAAAGGGAATTGAAGGCTGCACAGAGGAATTTAATTTTACAGAATATTTTTAGAAAGTGAAAGGGCATAATGGAATATTTATAGGACAAGAGAAGAGGTTAACTTTATTAAAGGAACAAAAAATTTCCTTCCTCTAAGTGACAAAGAAAAAAGAATGAACATGAATTTGAACAAGTGAAGAACTAAAAAGCAGAGGGAGGTTGAGCATAACTCCATCTCCATGCCTGGTGGAGTAACTAAGTCAACTGCAGTTAGGAGGCACCGGAAGCTGGAGGAGAGAAAAAATTTGTAGTACCTCTTTCCCTTTGTTCCATGATATATATGAATGATGGGTTTATGAATACTTCTTTAGTACTCTGTTTACCTTCTGTACCAGTAATGATATTTCCTTAGATAGTAGGTATTCAAGAAGGTTACACATTGTTCTTTTAATTTGAAGTCAGTCAGTAAATTAAGATTATGTCACCACCATAACTAGTCTACTGTTAAAATAATAATTATAACTATATTATGTATGAGGAAACAGGAATCTTGGTTACTGTGGTCTTGCATTTCCTTGTTTGTGGCTCAGTGTTCATAGCGGCTCAGTTCACAATAGCTAAGCTCTGGAACCAACGTAGGTGCCTTTCAATAGATGAATGGATAAAGAAAATGTGGTACATATACACAATGGAATATTACTTGGCCATAAAGAAGAATGAAATTATGGCATTTGCCGGTAAATAGATGAAAGTGGAGACTGTCATGCTAAGTGAAATAAGCCAATCCCCCAAAACCAAAGGCCAAATGTTCTCTCTGATGTGCAGATGCTGGCCCCCAATAAACTGGGGAGTGGGAGTGGAGGTTCACTGGATTGGACAGAGGAATGGGGGAAAGTGAGGGGAGATGAGAATGGAAAAGACAGTAGAATGAGTTGGACATAACTTTTCTATGTTCATATATGAATACATGACCAGTGTAACTTCACATTATGTACAACCACAAGAATTGGAAGTTATTCTCTATGTATGTGTGATATGTCAAAATACATTCTACTGTCCTGTATAACTTAAAAAAAACAAATTAAAAATACTTGTTTGTGGCTTTATATTCGTAGGGACAGGTTGTAGAAAACCTAAAAGCACAGGCACTTTGTTCCTGGACTGCAAAGAAAGATAATCACTTGAATTTCTCAAAACATGATGTTATTACGGTCTTGGAACAGCAAGAAAACTGGTGGTTTGGGGAGGTGCATGGAGGAAGAGGATGGTTTCCAAAATCTTATGTCAAGATCATTCCTGGAAGTGAAATAAAGCGAGAAGAGTAAGCATGCCGGGTGTCCCGCGGGGTGTGGGTGTCGGTGTTCCCATTAATGAGCCAGCCATGGTCTGACTGACTGTGTGATAAAAGAAAAAGTTCATGCTTAAGTTTGAATATCAGAAAGGTAATTCATGGGGCGATAAGAGCATACTTCAGATGTTTGTGCCAGTTTTATAATATCTTTCATTCCACTCATTTCAAATTCATGATGTTTTCAAAGTACTGTATTTAGAATTTTAGATGTGTACCTGAAGATCAACTAGAAAAGCAACTTTGCATTTCCTTGGAGCATTTCTCCCTTGTTTACTATATTTTTTCAGTATTTAAACAATTCTTTGCCTAGGTACTCCCCTTTACCAGATTGGGGCATTCCCTCTGGGCCTCTAGGGTTCCTTAACACTAACCTCTCCATTGCTCATACCTACATCCTTTTAAGTCATGAGATTTGTTACTTATTTTTCAGCTTTTCTATGCCTATTAGTCTTAATGCATAGTAGCTACTGAATTATATTAGCTCAAGGAATGAGGAAAGAAGAAAAAGAAATGCATTTTCAGATGAACAAAACTAAAAACTAGATAGGTTAAGATCTCTGACCTTTAATTCCCAGTAAAGGTCCAATTATCAAATATCTTTAATACAAGGAAATAAGCACTAAAATAAAGCTGAGTTAACTATCTCTGGTTGGAATTTGATCTAAATAGAAAAGCAGTGTAACATAATGAAAAGGTACTGGTTTTAGAAATAAAGAGACTTGAGTTTGATTCTGCCGTTTTTTTGCCAGACGATAAGAAGTAACCTATTTGGTCTGCAGTTTTCTAATTGACTGATGAAAAGATTAACTAATCTTTAAGAATATTTTTAGTGCTGAAGTTGTTTATCAACATTTAGTTCAAATGTAGAAATTTACTGACGTGGACTTTTGGAAGCGTGAAATAATAGCACTAACAACAGTACATAGTTGACATCTGTGTGCTGTGTGTTACAGCCTTTTTAAGAATTATCTTATTTAATTCCATAGCACTTGACAGAAAAGAAAATGTAAGCAAAAGGAGATTAAGTTTAATTGTGTTAGAAGGCATTTCTTCTAACTTTCCATTCAGTAACTGACCTTTCTAAGAGATAAATCTTTCAACTTGAAAGCCTGCAATAGTGAAGAATCAGCACTAATGAAGGCAGCCCCTCCAGTTGTGGCATGAGTTTTAGTAAGGTTCCTTCTTTGTTGGCTTGAAAACTGCCTCACTATATAATTTACTCATGGGACCTGGGGAGCCTTTGTGCATCCCACAGGTATCTAGTCTTCAACATTCCGCAGGTATCTGGTTGACCAGTCTTCTAAATTTTTGAAAAGTTTCCTAGATTAAAATGGAAATTGTTACACATATTCTGATACTTTTAAAATTTTTTAATATTTTTAATGTAATACATTCTAAACAACTAATAAAATTCATATATTGCCCTCACTTTCCTCTAAACCAAGCCAAGTGCCTTATGTGCTTTATCAAAAAACTTCCCTTTTACCGAAGCCCAGTTGTCTCAAAACCTCCTTCAGAAAGGCAAAGTACCTCACATTTGAAAAACTATAAATTGTATTGAAGTTACTTTAGTGGATTTTTAAAAAAATTTTTTTTAGTTGTTTATGGACCTTTATTTTATTTGCTTATTTATATGTGGTGCTGCGAATCGAATACCGTGCCTCACGTGTACAAGGCAAGTGCTCTACCACTGAGCTACAACTCTAGCCCTACTTTAGTGTTTTTAAAACATTTAAGTTTATAATTAGGCAGTTCTTACTTCAGAAGGATTTTATTCATTTATTTTTTTTTAATTTGAATAAAATAATTTTTTATATCAAATCTTTCTTAACTATGTGCTTTCTTTTTTTTAAGATTCTGTTTTATTTTATTTTTTTATTAGCTACACATTACAGTACAATGATCTTGACAATTCATACATTTGAATCAAATGGGGTATAATTTCTCATTATTTATTTTTATTTATTTTATTTTTATGTGGTTCGATTCTCAGTACCACATAAAAATAAATAAATAAAATATGAGAGCATTTGTAGTCTGAATATTAAGACAGTATTTAGATTAATTTGAGGAAGCCCCAAAGGAATTCACTGATGAAAACTGCTATATCCATCAAATCACCTTTCTTGTTTTTTGCTTGTGTTTTTTTTTTTTGTTGTTGTTGTTAATTTGTTTGTGTCTTTATTTGGCAGGCCAGAAGCTTTATATGCAGCTGTAAATAAGAAAGCTACCTCCACAGCCTATCCAGTTGGAGAAGGTAAGCTTTAGCCAATTCGTAAATCAGATAGGGGTCAGTTTAGCTACTGGCTAATTATTTAACTTCGCACAATCGTTGTTTTCTTGTTTCTGTATCTTTGGTATTAAATTAGGTTAGAAAACCTGCCCATGTCTACTTCATATGAATATTGACGATATAAAAAATATGATTGATAGTACTTGGCACTTTTCGAAAGTCAGTGCTATAAAAATTCAGCCTAGATTGGCTCAATAAATAAGATTACAAATAAAAAATGTTTTGATGATTGATTATATAGGTATTTAGGAAGTAATGAAATTTCAGTACATTAGTTTATAATTAAACTGCATTTTGCTTAGTGTGCCAAATAAATAAATAGGATTTGGAGTCAAGGAACCCTTTGTTATAAATATTACAAAGAAATTTTTACTATAGTACTTTGTATTGTTTGGTTAAGAAATTTTGATTATGTTAATGGGATGAAAAATCAAAGATTGTCTACCCTAATTTCAGGTAATATTTGATTTAACAGCTACATAGATTTTATAAATGAAATATATTTTCCATTATAAAATTAATTGACTAGTTGAAGTATATTTTATTTTGCTTAAAAATAAAATTTTTAAGCTGGGGTTATGGCTCAGTGGTAGAGCACTCGCCTGGCATGGGTGAAGTACTGGGTTTGATTCTCAGCACCATATAAAAATAAATAAATAAAATAAAGGTATTGTGTCCAACTATAACTAAAAAAAAAAATAAAAATAAATAAGTAAACTTAATGGCAAATGAAATTTTATTCAATAACCATTAAGTTGAATATTCTATTTTAGAGCCTGAAAGACACAAGAATAAATAATATATAGTCTCCAAAGTGCTCACAATAGAATGAAGAGGATAAGCCTATAGTTATGATAAATTCTACAATGAGTGAACAAAAACTATTTTGAGAAGGACCTATGAATAGCAATGTTGCATCATCTTAAACAAAAAGTAGGATCTTAACATAGTGGCAAAGGAAGAAAAAGGACTTCTGGACAGAGGGAAGAGAATGAATCAAGTTAGGGCCATGAAGTTGAGGGAACTTTAAATCACCAGTTAGGCTGCAGTCATAGGTGTACTGTGAATGAGGCTCTCAGACGGGCCTAAGAAAATAGTGAGGAGCATTTTGGAAATTACTTAACTTATTACAATTTAAACATTTTAGTTGCTTTTTGTTATATCAGCTAAGTTAGTAGCAGGAATGAATGTGAAGAGTAGATAGATTATAGATGGTGTTTCTCATCCTTTCTAGTATGATAAAAGATCAAATTGCATGTTAGCAAATATAAATAAAACTAAAAAAGAAAGAAAAAGACTTCTAAAAGCATAGTCACTGTTTTTTCTAAATAATAACAATCACAGGAACAAAAAAACAAAGCCAATATAGAAACTTAGATATTTCCCTCAAGGTAATTCATTAATAGTTATTTGTTGAGCATCTACTTGTAGCCAACCACTATGCTTGAAGCTGGGTCATTATGATAGGTCTTGGCTTCTGGTACCGCTGTCTGCTAGATATTGGGCATTTCCATAACTGTATATATAAAAGAAATAACAAAGAATTTAGCAGATTAAAATATATTTTGTAAAAAGAAGTTAACATTTTTTTTCATGTCTTGCTTGACTCCATTATTTCATACTGAGTAACTTAATCGTATTAAGCCTCAGTTTCATTGTCTATGGATACTAATAACTCTTTGTAGTTTTAGGTAATTCTTTATGATTAAAAAATAATGGTGATTATAACAAGGCTGTTGGAAAAAACTCATGGAAAAGCTTTATGTTAAATAATCTTTTACTAAGCAATTGTTAAATAATAACTTCCATTCCTTTTTCTATCTTCAGATCTTTTTGTATTGGGTTTTCTTAAGACATAGAGGTCTTTTACAGTAAACTTACACAAGATCCTAGAGATTAACCTAATTTCTTTTTTATTTCTATAAAATCAGAATTAAAATCCACTTCCTTTTGCTTTATTCCCTACAGAATATATTGCACTTTATTCATATTCAAGTGTAGAACCAGGAGATTTGACTTTCACTGAAGGTGAAGAAATACTGGTGACCCAGAAAGATGGAGAGTGGTGGACAGGAAGTATTGGAGATAGAACTGGAATTTTTCCATCAAACTATGTCAAACCAAAAGATCAAGAGGTATTAAAAACAAAATCACTCCATTCTTGTTGATCAAGATTAGTATTTAAAACAGAGATCATATATGGTTTTGACCAGGCTACTTGCTTACAAGAAAACTAGTCACACTAGCTCCAGTACCAGAGTTTATTTTAGGCATCCAATTAAAGAAATAAGAGGGACAGGATTTCATGAAATTCTAAGAACAAAAACCACATGTAGCATTAAGCCTCATGATCACTAAAAATAAGGAGTGATTCTGGACTCTCAGCAGAGTTTACAAAGGACCACCTTGAAGGAGTCTGTAAATCTTTAAGACTCTAACATTAGTGTAATTCATCTTACACTCTGAAGTTCCTGCTTCTTTTCATCCCATAATGTCATACAGAAGTTCTTAAGACTTTTTATATACTTAAAATTTTTTTAAGGGCTGAACACGGTGACACACACTAGTAACTCCAGAGGCTGAGGCATGAGGGTCGAAAATTTGAGGCCAGCCTTAGCAATTTAGTGAGGCCTCCTCAACTTAGCTAGACCCTGTCTCAAAAAACATAAATTAAAAAGAACTGGAAAAGCAGCCCAGTGGTAAAGCTCCCTTAGGTGAAAGCCTTAATAAATAAATAAATAAGTTGCCGGATCTGGTGGTACATGCCGGTGCCTATAAATCCCAGGAGCTTGGGAGGCTGAGGCAGTAGGTTCACAAGTTCAAAGCCAGCCTCAGCCTAAAGCAACTCAGCAAGATCCTGTCTCTAAATAAAACATATTTTTAAAAGTGGGGGCTCTCACTGGTTAAGCACCATTGGGTTCAATTGCTGGTACCAAAAAAAAAAATTGAGTACAGAAGGTTTCTTTTTAAGTATATCGGTTATATCTAGTGATATTTACCACAAATTGAAACTGAAATTATTTAAACATTTATTTAAACGTTTACTCATTTAAAGCCATTACATGATAACATAAATAACTCACTTTTTATGAAAAGCAACTGTATTTTTCAAGAAAAAAATTAGAAGAGTGGCATTATTTTATATTTTTGACAAAAGTCTTCAATGTCTCGCCTAATGGTAGATAGCTAGATGCTCATGTTTCTGTGTTCAATCTGATGTGATATGTTCTTTTGATTGAAGTATGTGAACAAAATTCAACCTGATACCAATAGCGGAGAAATGGAGAAGTATTTTAATGTTTGCAAATGTCTGTGAATATTCTTCTTTGATTCTGTTACACCAAAACTTGATGAATGTTTATGTTTATAAAGCACCAATTAGAAAACAGTAAATAAATAGGAGACCAGTAGAACAGAGGAAGAGGAGCAGGGAAGGGTGGAGAGGAGGGGAAATAGAGGTAGTAGAGGAGGTAACGGAGAAAATGATATTCATACATGTGTGAATGTGTCAAAATAAATCTCACTGTTGAAAAACTAGGGGTGGAACCACAATATGACCCAGCTATCCCTCTCCTTGGTATTTTCTCATAAGATCTAAAATCAGTGTACTACAGTGGCATAGTCACATCAGTGTTTGTAGCATAATTCACAATAGCTAAATTATGGAATTGACTTAGATGTCTATCAGTAGATGAATGGATTAAGAAATTGTGTACACACACACACACCATGGAGTTACACTCAGCCATAAAAAAGAGTAAAGTGAATAGAGAATATCATGCTAAGTGAAATTAGCTAAACTCAGAAATTAAAAGGTCAAATGTTTTTTCTCATATGCAGAAGCTAGAGTAAAATAAAGGAAATAAAGGAAGGGTAGGATAACATAAAGAACAAAATTCAGGGGCTGGGGTTGTGGCTCAGTCGTAGAGCACTTGCCTAGCACATGCAAGGCACTGTGTTCTATCTTTAGCACCTCATAAAAATGAATAAATAAAAATAAAGGTATTTTTAAAAAAAGAACAAAATACAAACTAATAGGGGCTGGGGATGTAGCTCAGTTGGTAGAGTTGTTGCCTCACATGCACAAGGACCTGGGTTCAATTCCCAGCACCACAAAAAACAAACAAACAAACAAAAAACAAATTAATAGACAAGTGAAAGAAAGTCTAGTAGAATAGGGGAAGGAGAAAGAGAGGGAAAGGAGGATGGGAGGAAAAAGGGGAAATCATGAGCTGAAATCAATTTCCATGCATATACTGAGTTTGTCAGGATGAACTTAACTCCTATGTATAATAAAAAAATAAATAAAGCTCTAATCAAAACTGGAGGCAATCATAATTGCTTAATAGTATTATTGTGGAAACTAGTTTTTAAAATTTTTTTTAGTTGTAGATGGACACAATACCTTTATTTTATTTATTTATTTATTTTTATGTGGTACTGAGGATTAAATCCAGTGCCTCACACATTGTAGGCAAGCGCTCTGCCACTGAGCTACAACCTCAGCCCATGAAAACTAGTTGACTAGTGTGATCTCTTAGAGTACTGTTGAGTACTCTTGAGTACTGTTATACAGTACTCAAAAAAATGTTAACATTTACTGCCATCAACTCTGTGTAATACTTTTACTGCGGCTGTGTATCCTAAGAAAAAAATTCTTTTTGATCCCATCCCTTTTTTTTCTTCAAATTTCTATAAAATAGGAAATACGTTTGGTCCAATTTATCTTTTAACATCAAACAGAAATCAGAGTTTGCCTACCCACGGTGTGGTATTTTTGTTTTTAAATCAGTTCAATTGGTATAATGGTAACCTGGTTAGAAACAAACAAACAAACAAAAAAAAAGTGCCTCTTACTCAGCAGGAACTATAGGATGAGTCAGGTTCCCTAGAGAAAGCAGGAACAAACTCACATGTGTCTAAACATATCCAGGACACACATGTTGTATCTAGTGGGCATTGATGTTAATCCCATTAATGACTGGGGTGCACTTGGCCTAGATATTCATGTTTAATATTCAAGAAAGATTGAGATAATGAGCCCTTTCTGTTTGAGTCAGTGATGACATCACCCACTTGCATATTATATATTCCATTAACCAACCAGATCTCCTTGTTGGATTCTTTATTTATTTGGTTTATGTAAGGTTAATTATCATTTTGAGTTGCATTTAAAGAAACAAAAGTCCTGGGAATTAGAATTCTTTAAATCCCAGTAACCTTTGTACTTTTACCTCTGGATTGTTGGAAATGATTTTTTTTAAAATGTCTCTTTCTTGTAGAATTTTGGGAGTGCTGGAAAATCTGGAACATCAAACAAAAAACCTGGTATGTATAATAATGAGCTTGAAAAATTACTGAAGTGTTTACTGTGTCATATCTTGAGTTCATAATTCTGTTTTTCTTCTTTTCAGAGATTGCTCAAGTAACTTCAGCTTATGTTGCTTCTGGTGCTGAACAGCTTAGCCTTGCACCAGGGCAGTTAATATTAATTTTGAAAAAAAATGCAAGTGGATGGTGGCAAGGGGAGTTACAGGTATAATTTTTAACATCTATTGATTTTATTACAAAAATAATGCTCATTAAAAAATCAATAAAAATTTTGTATCACCCATAATCAGTACCAACATTATAGCGTATTACGTTTAGTGTACTATGTTTCCCTCTAGTCGTCATCTTTTTTTTTTTCTTTTTGTAGCTGTAGATGAACAGAATGACTTTGTTTATTTTTATGTGGTGCTAAAGTTCAAATCCAGTGCCTTACACATGCTAGCAAAGTACTGTGCTACTGAGCCACAGCCACAACCCCTCCCTCTAGTCTTTTGCCTCTTCATTTTTAGTACAGTTGAGTTGATATAATTATAAGTAATAATTGAAAGAACAATTTTCTCTGAAGACAGTTGTCTTCCAATAATGCATGCCTTACTAAAACCTCAATCACCTTCTTAAAGGAAAGCATAGCATCATCTTGGCCTGGGATAGGCCCAGGTGTAGTCTGCCCTCTAGGAGAAAGACCTGATTCAGGCAGTGTACTCAGAAAATAATGCATTGCACTGTCCTCCAGTAATCTTAGGTTTTTGAAGCAGCAGTGCAGGGAAACAGAATTCAGACCTAAGTGAGTCTGTTTTTTTCTAAAAATGTCAACAGATGGCTGTAGCATATGTTTTGAGAGAGAAATAGCATTATTCTCTCAGTTCTAAAATGTCCTTACTAGCTTTTTAGGGTTGAATGATGAGAGGTATAACTGTATTTTTATATAAAATTAATAATGGTTATTAATGCGGAGATAAACATAGCTTCATTCTTGCAAATCAAAATCTTATGACTCCTAGAGATCGGTGGGGGCCCACAACTCCCATAAACTAAGACACTTATCAGTCAGAATATTCCAAGGATTTAGAGATGGTTACCTCCCAGTAGCCCAGTGCAAATACAAGATTAAATTATTTATTATATTGCCAAGATTTCTGTAATTTTTCAAGTTATGTCTCAGTGATTGTTTCTGATCTCATCTTTAAATTGGGTATTTCTTTTGCTAATTCCATAGGCCAGAGGAAAAAAGCGTCAGAAGGGATGGTTTCCTGCCAGCCATGTTAAACTTTTGGGTCCAAGCAGTGAAAGAACCACACCTGCCTTTCATGCTGGTATGAAAATGGATTAATTTGTACTTCATCTTGGAGAGCTTTGTTAAAACTCATCAACTTCTTAGACTAACTCTTTGGAAGATGAAAAATGTGTCCCCTCCATACATCTGCTTAAAAGTAACATGCCACTGATAACTTCCTTTCTGAAAAGTTCCATGTAGGAACAGCCAACTGCTCGTTGATAACTTAAGCCTCTTTACTCCTTGAAATTTTTCAACATGGAATTCCTACACCATTGTACTTAAAGTGAAGCAGTTCTCTTGGATTTTTAACCAGAATTTTTTAATTCTTCTTTTTGTAAGACAAGAAATGTGGGCAGGAAGGTAGGAAAATTTTAGCCTATTTTAATATTGAATGTTGGGGTAATTTAAATTCTAGAAATTTTTTTTTCTCTTTCACATTTTTTATTGGTACATTTTAGTTGTACATAATCAGGGGATTCTTTGTTATTTATTCATATATGCACACAATTTAACAATATAATATGACCTATATGACTCCCCAACACTTCCCTCCTTTCTCCCCTCCTCCCACCCCCTTGTCTCTTTTCTCTACTGATTTACCTTTGATTTTCATGAGATTCCCCACTAGGAATAGTTTTGATCCTTGTAGGATAATTAATTTGTTTAATTATTATTTTTGATAGTATGTCAGGTGATTGCCATGTATGACTATGTTGCAAATAATGAAGACGAGCTCAACTTCTCCAAGGGACAGCTTATCAATGTTATGAACAAAGACGATCCAGACTGGTGGCAAGGAGAAGCCAATGGAGTGACTGGTCTCTTTCCTTCAAACTACGTTAAGATGACGACAGACTCAGATCCAAGTCAGCAGTGTGAGTAATATCAAATTATTTACCTCTCATCTGGTGTGAAAACCTTAATATGCAGTACAACATTTATTACTGCCCTAGATCAGCTCTTAAACTCAGCACTCACAGCAAATGTAGATTAATGTTTAAAGAAAAAGCAAAAGGAGACATTTTACAAGATCAAAAGTTATACTATTTTAAATACTTTATTTCCTAGCCTTCAGCCTTAATTTTAGATTTTATCTGAAAAAATGTATAGGGGCTAGGGTTGTGGCTCAGTGATAGAGCACTTGCCTAGCATGTGTGAGGCACTGGGTTTCATTCTTAGCACCATAGATAGATAGATAGATAGATAGATAGATAGATAGATAGATCGATCTATCGACAACTTATAAAAATTTTTTTTTTAATTTTTTTAAATGTATAATTTCTCTTATGGGTTCTTTGGTGTGATATCCATCTACACTGCAGCTTCCCTTCACCATCAACCTCTTTTTTCAGTGTCCAGTGCTCTTTTTCAGCTTAACAAAATATAGCAAGTAACTATAATTGCCCTATCCATCTATTCAGAATTAACCTTTTAGTGTACAGATGCCATTAATTTTGCAACCTTCTCATTTATTTCCCAGATATTTATTCATCATCTAGGTTGGAAGAAAATTAAATAAACTGTTTGCAAAACCCTTATTAGATGATTGTTTAGATAGCCACTTCATGCCACTGAAAAATGGTCTGTTTTGCTATTTTCAGAACAGTAGTCCAGACCTCAGAGTATGAAATTTGGTATTATATTAAATTATCTCACTAGACTTAATGGCGCATGCCTATAATCCCATCAATTCAGAAAGATCTCAAATTCAAGGCTAACATGGGCAACTTAGCCAGACCCTGTCTCAAAATAAATGGGCTGGGGGTTATCTTAGTGATACCGCCCCCCTCCCCAAAAAAAGCTGTATGTGGTGGTGTGCATTTGTAATCCCAGCAACTCAGCTCAGAAGAATCAAGTTCAAGGACAGCCTCAGCAATTCAAGCAAAACCCTGTCTCAAAATTTTTAAAAGAAGGGTGAGGGGCTAGAGATAGAGCTCAGTGGTAGAGTGCCCCTAGGTTTAATTCCCAGTACCAAAAAATGAAAAACAACATCTCTTGGTAGTTACCTATCCTTTATTGTTGACAGTAAACACAGTATTAATAATAAATTAGGGAATAAGCCATACTTAGAAATAAATTTTTACTTTAATAAAATGTATATTGTTTTTCCCTATCCTTTCAATTTTTAATTTTGTTTACAAAATAAGTCATGATTTATATTTTTATCACTGTAGTGAAATAATTAAGATTTAGCCTTTCATTTTTGTTTTAGCTGCTGAGAACACGTATATGGTAACTCAGTCAAAACTGAGATATATTTGTGATCCAGTTACACACTGGATAATTATTCTTTACCACATCTGTGTTTTCACTTTAGAGCTTTGTAAAGATAGTTCTAATCTTGGGAGAAAGAAAATGGTAACAACTTAGATTGCCTGTTGAATGGCCATTTTTAAGTTCTGCTGATAATTTTTCAGTTTCCAGTGATAAATTAGAAATCCATTTATAATTAGAATTACCTGCAGCACCTTTCTGGGAGCTGAGAGTGGTTGATACTTTGAGACTTAACTGTGCTAAAAGATCTTTGCTAGTGATCTCTGATTAATTCCATCCTCTCTGTACATTTAGCTTTTGTAGCATCTATGATCTAAAGTGGTGTTTTTTTAAATTTTTGTTAAAGAGTTATTTTTAATCTTGTTTTCCAGTGGTGAAATATTTTTTTTTTCCAATTAAGCCTCATACAATGAGGAATATAAATAATAGATAAAAGCTTATTCTAAAGGAAGGGCAGCATCATGCTCCATTCTTTCCCTTTCTTTCCCCTTATTCCATGACAGTCCTTTCAGGTTCCCTTCTAGTGAAATTAACCTTTGCAGGAAGTTGTGACAACTTTTTATTCTTAAACAGCATAATAGGTTGCCAATAAATTGTTCAATACACAAACGATACAGAAAATAGATAATCTCAAACTAGTTATCCATACAGATTACTTTTGGTCAGAGAATGCTTTGTGTGCACTCTAGTGTGGATAGAACTGGCAGAGCTTCAGTCTGCCTGAAGTGAGGCCCCCATCTGTGAAGTGATAGAACTTTCTATAGTGACGGAAAGAGTCTATATTTGCATCATCCAGTACAGTGGCCATTAGCCACATGTACCTTTTGAGTATCTGGAATGTGGCTAATATGACTGAGAAACTCAATTTTTAATTTAATTTTAATTAAACCTAAATAGTCACTTGTGACCGGTGGCTACTGTATTGGGCAGCACAACTTTAGAAGACAACCACTTTCAAGCCTTCCCTGAAGGAAAATAAGAAATAGCAATATTGAAACATAGAAATAAGAAAAGGCAAAGTAAATAATTTTAAAGGAACAAAATTTCTATGAGCTTCAGATTTTATTATGATGTTTTCAGATTTTATGTCAACATTTCTATTCATTGAAAAAATTTATTCATTTCATAAATATTCTTTAAATGTCCTCTACATACTTAAAAGCATTGGGAATATAAACACAAAAATCCTTGCACCAATCCTTCAGTCCTTGATGTGAAATAGACTGAGAGTGGTAGAGAACAGACATTCAGATAAATATAACAGTGGCTATAAAGAGTATTTATACAAATCGGAGATTTTCCCTAATCTGTGTCGGGAAGAAGGCATGTCATCATTGGAAGACTTTACAGAGGGCTTTTAATCTGGAACATGAAGGACAAGTAGTAACAGTTTGCTAGAAAGGCAGATGTTGGGGATGGGAGGAGGCACCAGTTATTTTCTTGATCATTTTACATATTGAGAGCTGGGAAAATAGAATGCTTGAGGTATTATTTCAAAATAGAAGAAACTTTGAAGTTCTCTTTGTTATAAATTTATTACAAGTAACTTAACCTTTTACCTTATTTTTGGTTGATATATATTTGAGCATATTGAAAAACTGAATACTTTATTGTTTTGCCTCAACTAATGACCAATAGTCATCATCCTTCCTGGAATAAAAGAGCTCTCAATTCTGTAATTCTCAAGACAATTCACAAATAGATTCTTCTAAGAAAGCTTCTTGTTTGAATAAAACAACCATTTAAATCACCTAGGAGACCAAAGAATACCAGTTTTGTTCACTTGCAATAATTATTTATTAGAAACTAAAGAGTCATAATTGCTTTTTCAAAGATAAAGAATAGAGTTAACTGTATTGGTAACTATGAAATTCACATTGAGTTTATATAAACCCATAACTTTAGTAGGAAATGGTTCAGAAAATGCTTAATCCTTAAAGTTAGGAAGTGATTTGAGACCTTTGTTACACTATCTAGATTTTTAGAATCATCTGTCTATAATCTTTGCATGAGGCTTTAAGAGCTGGTTAAATTATAGATTACCATTTGTGTTTCTCTGGCCCTTATAAGTATTATTTTCATTTTACTTATGTAACTAGAACATTTTTAAAGATTGAGATTTTTAATAGTTCAAATTTGTTTAGTTGATGTTGCATGTTATTATTAGTCAAATTTTTTCTCACCCACCTAATTTGCGTTATGTTCATTTTATTCCTCATTTTTCTTTTTTTAGGACCCAATGTTGTCTTCCAGTTGTGAAAGCACCCCAGAGACCCACTATCCAAGTTTGACTCTAGCGTGGAGTCAGGGCAGGTAGCCCTGATAAAATATCTCCTACACAATTCATTTACTTCGTTCGAATGTTAGAGCCACTTGTGATTATTTCTTTGTGTTTCTGATTTATAGTTAAAATTTATTTGTAACAAGTTCAAGGATAGTGGGTCTTTGTGTGGCTTTCCCTGCTGTTCACTCTGGCATCCTTTAGCATTTTTCTTCTTTTTTAATTTGGCAATTTTAGGTCATTAGCATGCATATTGAGTTTGCCCTTACATGGTGGGAGTTCAAACACACAAAGACCCACTATTTGCACAAACTATTCTCTCTGGTTTGGAATGGGCTGCCATGCTTTTCTAGTATTATTGCAACATGTATGATCATTACAGAATTGAGGTAAAGTTTTCTTATGTTCCACTATTATGTTTGATCTAATCCTAAACACAATGAGCCCTTAACTGGCTCACTCGGTGATCTGCCCTGAAATATGTACTGTATATTACTTTCTAATATGCCACTATATGAGTGTCGATATTTAGATTGTTGAAAGGCCAAGAACTGGAAATAACCTTTTCTCTATTTTTTTGTGTAATTGGAGTGGGAGCAATTACATTTAGGTGGAGCTTTTCTTATCTCACAGAAGAGGAAAGTGGCCTGCTCTGGTGGCTGTGTGCTCAGTGGGCTGTGTATGTTTAGTATGCTTCAACTGCCCAAGAATAAGCACTGTACTTTGGTAGTTCCTATAGGATCTTTGTGTGCTCTGGGCTGATGAAGATACTGTATCATGAGCATTTAGTTTTTACTTCTTTATTGATAATCTAAAATTTGATTATTTTTCAGAAATGAAAGATTCCCACCATTGACTGTGAGACATGAAACCCTCCCTAACTTAAATATCTCTAATATTTTTTAAAGTCAAAATTCACATTATCTATTTTAATTAGGTGACTGCATGTCCCAGAACACAAAAGGACACTAGTTGGCACTCTAAAATGTATTTAGTAAGGATCATAAGGAATCCTTAAAGAGTGTAAATTTCCCCGAAGCAGGCATACAGGCTCTAATCAAGGACTCAGTGAAGGAAGGATGTTTAAGAGCTGGCATTCCTCTATGTTTGTGAAGCTTCTTTGAGGCTAGGAAATTGATTTTACCATCCCAGCTTCTCTGGAGGGGATCTGTTGTTCAACTACATTGACTGCTTTGGCGTAGGATCCTTGAGTGGAAACACTTTTAAAGTAATAGACATTATTATGAACTAGTAGATGTGAGAGTACTTAGCTGAAACAAAAAGGAGTTTTAATAGACAGTATTATACTATATTTGAAAATCAATGAGAGTTTATGCAATTTTAAGTGTTTACAAACTGCAGTGCAATCTGTTCATGAATGTCTAAGTATTATCAGGAAAAATGTACATATAATCAGTCTTATTTGCTCACAGAGTTCTTTAAGAAAATCGAAATGTTTTTATACCTCCCAGTTTAAGTTAGAAGTATATTTTGAGTAATATTTATGTTAATGTGCCTATACATTATGAATGAATTATTTTAGTCATAAATTTTTTAAATCATAACTTTACAGCACGAGAAAGAATCAGTAGTTTAGTTAAAGCCTCACAAAGTTCAAATGTCTGTGTTCCCAGATATTTCACATTTTTGGAGTATAGAGAGATGTATGTGTGCTCCCTGAGATGGGGAGCACACATGTTTGGCATTTGCCATCATCACCATATTTTATAAATAGGACATTAATAGGGAAGCAATAATAATATCATTTTACAGGTAGAATAATATATTTGCCTGCAGTCACTAAAAAGAGACAGTGAAAAGACTGAGTCCTTGTGAATTCAGCTGACTTTTCCAAATTATATGGATTACCTGGTCTTGCCTTTTACCTTCTGAACTTTCTAGTTTTGTACTCTTGAGTTAAGTTTAAGGACAGTTACTTTAAATACTGACAATAAAAATCAGACCACTGTTAATTAACCACATTAGTTGCTCTAACAGTTTTTCCTTGTAATTTTGAATAGGGCTTATCTGATATACTGATAAGTTATTTCAAAGGTATTTCTGTATCTCAAATCACTTCACTTTTACACTGATAAATATAGATTATTAGGACATTCAGGTGCAGCTTAACATCTATAATCAGTCTTCAAATAATGTGTTCATCGGGTACGTATGGATTAAATCACATAGTGTTGATGAATGTCAGTCTGGAAAAACACTTAACTGTACTAACTGAAATACCATTCTTTGTGTAGTTACTTTGTCATATATTTTTGAGAGAAAGCTAAAAAGAAAGGAAATTATATGACATATATAGTAATATATGAGACTTATTTAAAAGTGCATGCAATCCTTTGCAATACCTCATTCAGTCGTGTATTTGTTCTCTTCTTCATTCACTATAAGGCAGCCTTCAATTTGCTTAGAAGGAAAGAGGTTATTAGAAACACAGAGTTTTTAAATGGGAGTACAACTGAATAAATTTGAACCCTGTAGGAGGAAAAGAAAAAAATACCTGTTTATATATTTTAGTATGTGATTAATTACATATGTAATTAAACTTGACCAGTTTTCCAGCCATGAAAAATCAGTTCTAAAACTAAAGCTGATTTTGAAAAAAATTTAAAATTAAAATTAACCCTATTCATTATATAGTTTCTCCAAAACTTTGAGTCCTTTTGAAATAATCCAACTATTTTAAAAAGTGTAATTGCTATTTTCATGTTTTAAAATGCACTATGAATACTGTAGTTTAAAAGAAAGAATGTGGGAAAGGAAAAGTAGAGAAAGAAATGCTAGTTCCAGTCCAAAGCTTTATTTGCCAAGTTTTCTTAGAATGAATTTACCAAGTTATGAATTCTTGTAAATAAAATCTATAATGGAAATATTGAGAGACTTTTGCCTAAAGTGGCATTATTTGATGCTACTGTGATGCTACTGTAATGTAATAAATTATTAAATTGTTGCAAAGTGCTGTTTTTGCCTTAAATTTTTATTTTGTGTGTCTTGAAAACTATAGTATTAAAGGTATTGAGATTGTGCAAATGCTGGGCACGCTTGGCATGAGATAATCTGTTATTTTTACAAAATTGTAATATAACTATGCAAGTGTGTTTATTAAAAGGACACAAACTACATTACTTGTATTGTGTATTTCTTTTGAAGCATCCTTTAAAATTTATCTTTAATTGTTACATGTAGGTGTGATTAAATGTCTTTGGAATTTCTTTTTTTCTTAATGTAGTCTCTGGGTATAGGCCAGAAAATTGTTTTGTGTCACAGGGGCAAAATAAATTGAGATAATTTGATCTATGATAATCATACTTACCTCAAGCAAAAAGAAATTTTGATTTTAATATGCAGTTTAATTACAAAATTAAAGGAAAAATATAATCTAAGATATGGATAGACTCTCATGTTACTGAACAATTTTTACTACAACTTTTTTCCTAAAAAGGAACTTACAAATTAATACTCCAAATGTGAAGTAAGACTTTTTAGTAGAAATTAGAAGTCTGTATAAAAGAACCTTCAGTGAATGCTTGGGGCCATCACAGTCAAACAAAATATTACACTTAAGTAATTAAGTTGGTAGTTCTGTATGGCCTTGGGTGAAAAGAAAAATATGGATCAAAATCTAAACCATCAATGCATACCATAAATAACCTCTTCTAAAATACTTTCCTCAAGCCTGGAAAGTTATCCAACTAACACGTATTGAGTATTTACATGAGTTCAAACAGAGTACTGGGTACTAGAGATACAGAAATGATTGTGATGGGGTCTTAGACTTAGGTAGTGCATAGCTCTGTGAGGGAATCAGGTGCAGAAGCAGTTAATTATAAAACACAGCAACAGATACTTACTGGCTCCATGGGAGTACAGAGGAGGAATACCTGATTCAACCACAGATTGATGAGGGAGAGAAGACATCCTGGAGGAAGCAACTACCAGATCCCTATGATAAGTAGGGCAAGCCAGATTCTGGGGGCTGGAGGTGTGATCATAAGCAGTTCAGTATTGCTAGAGGCAGTGCAAAGCCAGGACCAGTGGAAGTTGAGGCTTCAGAAACAGGCCAATGGTTAAATCATAGATTGCCTTGTTTTTCTAGGGGAAAAAGAAACTGTCAATGACTTGGTCCTGAATGGCTTGAAGTTCAGCCTGTGCATAGGGATTTTTTAAAGTTCCCCATGTTATTCTGACATACAGCCATGGTGGAGAAAAAGTGAAGAAAGAGTTCTGAGGGAAAATTAGCAGAAGTTGAAGATCAGTGGAATGTGAGAGTAGGTAGAAGAGTCAGTTATTCCCAGGTTTGTATCTTGAGTAACAGTGGGATAATGGTGCCACCAATTGCAGTAAAGAACCAGAGTTTGGGGGAAGAAGATGAGTTAGGATTTTATTTATAAGGTGCCTGTGGGACATCTAGATAGAATTGTCCAGAAAGTGGACAGATATAAATAAAATATACAGCATCAGAAAGACATCAGCTGATGGAATGGTGCACTACCGTACATACTGGTGGCTGTCAAACCAGAAAAAGGTGATGAGATTTCTTGGGGAGAAGATCAGACCTTTGAGACCCACAGTTAGGGATGGAATAGTGCAAGGAACAAATGAAGACAGAAAACACTTTCGGCAAGAATAGATTGTTATACTAATGTCTCCCCATTTTTAAAAAGTAATGAAATTTTAGCTGTGCAACCATTGCTAGTACCAGAAAAGGAAACAGGTAAAGCATTCTCTTTTTTTTAACCTTTATTTTATTTATTTACTTTTATGTGGTGCTGAGGATCGAACCCAGTGCCTCACACGTGCTAGGCAAGCGCTCTACCACTGAACCACAACCCCAACACCCCCCCCCCCCCGAAAAGCATTCTTTATTGAGGACTTATTAGTGTAAGTACTTTTCTAAGATCCTTCAGTGTACTTCACTACTTTTATTGGGGAGGGAGTAGATACTGGGTATTGAACCCAGTGGCACTTAACCACTGAGCCACATCCCCAGCTTTTTTTATATTTTATTTTACTTACAGACAGGTCTCACTGAGTTATTAGGGCCTCACTAAATTTCTGAGGCTGCCTTTGGATTTGCCATCTTCCTACCTCAGCCTGAGCTGCTGGGATTACAAGCATGCACCACAGCACTCGGCTCATGAGATTGTTGGCTATTTCTATATCTTTGGAGAAATGTCTATTCAGATCTTTTGCTTATTTTCTAATGGAGTTATTATTCTGCATAATCACTTTTTAAGACTTTGGATCAGTTTTAGGTTCACAGCAAAACTACAAGGAAGGTTTATATATTCTAATGCCCTCCACCCCCACAGATACTTAGCCTTTCCATTATCTACATCCCCTACCTCAGCAATACATCTGCACTGACATGTCATCATTGCCTGAAGTCTTGGTGTTAGACACTCTGTGAGTTTGGACAAATCGTAATGACATGTATCTACCATTATGGTACATTTCAGAGTAATCCAACTTCCCTGAGAATTCTCTGTGCTCCACTTGGTCATTCCTCCCTCCCTTCTAGACCCTGACAACCACAGATCTTTTTGCTATCTCCTTGGTTTTGCTTTTACAGAACATTACATGGTTACAATCATATAGCATTTAGTCTTGGCTCGTCTAGTAATGTGAACATGTTTCCTCCATATCTGTCATAACTTGATAATTCTTATTTTTGATGCTGAATAATATTTTGTTGTCTGGAGGTATCAGTTTGTTTATTCACTTACTGAAGACATCTTGGTTGCTTCCAAGTTTTGGCAATTATGAATAAAGCTACTTAAGTATTTGTGTGCAGGTTTTTATGTGGACAAAGGCTTATAGTTCCTTTGAGTAAATACCAAAGAGCATGATTGCTGAATAATAGTCTATGTTTGGTTTTGTAACAGCCAAACTGTTCCAAAGTGGCTGTACCATTTGGTATCCCACCAGCAGTGAGTTAGAACTTCTATTGCTCTATGTCCCATGTTTCAACAGCATTATGGATACTGGCCATTATAATAGGTGTGCAATTGTGTCTTGTTTTAATTTGAATTTCTCTGAAGACATCTAATGTTGATAACCTTTTCATATGCTTATTTTCCATCTGCATATCTTCTTTAGTAAGGTTTCTATGAGATCTTTGGCCTATTTTAAAAATCAGGTTGTTTTCTTGTTTTTAAGAGTGCCTAGTATACTTTGGAAAATAAATGTCTTTTACAAATATTTTCTCCCAGTCTGTGGCTTATCTTTCTTGACCATGTCTTTCACAGGGCAGAAAGTTTTAGTGAAGTCCAGCTTATCAGTTCTTTCTTTTATAGACTATACCTTAAAAGTTGTTACCAAACCCAAGGACAGGTAGATTTTCTCCTATGTTATGTTCTGTGTGGTGTTTCATATTTGGGTCTTGGGACAATGGTGCATTTTAGTTTTCATGAAGGATATATATGTCACTTGTTCAGCACCATTTGTTGGAACTATTTTTCTTTTTTGTTGGTGCTAGGATTTGAATCCAGGGCCTTGTGAATGCCAGGCAAGTAGTTTACCACTGAGCTACATCCTCAACCCCTATTTGTGGAAACTAAGTAAGCCTTGAGGTTGAGTAGTAGTATCCTCAACTTTTGTCTTCTATAGTATTGTATTGGCTGTTCTGGGTCTTTTGCTTCTCTATATAAATTTTAGAATTAGCTTTTAAATCTTTTTTTTTTTTGGTACGGGGGTGTTGAACCCAGGGGTGCTTAACCACTGAGCACATCCCCAGCCCCTTTTTAAATATTTTGTTAGAGACAGGGTCTCACTGAGTTGTTAGGTGCCTCACTAAGTTGCTGAGACTAGCTTTGAGCTCTCGATCCTCCTGCTTCGGCCTCCTGAGTCACTGGGATTACAGGCATGTACCACTGAGCCCGGCTTAAATCACTTTTTAATGTTAGTCTTTAACAACAACTTATGAAAGATGTTCTTAAGGAAGACATTATTAAGGCTGTTATTAACAGGCAAAAATCAGTTAGTCTTTCAAAGAGGGTAATAAAATGAGCACAGTGGGAAATAGAGTAGCTTTGAACCCTGGTTCTACCCTCTGAGCTTTAGCCTTGTCTGTATAATGAGGACAGAAATACCTACAGTGAGGCTTAGGCATTTGTAAAGCATTAGTTCTTTGCCTGGCTCATAATAGATGCTAGAGATAATAATTAACATGTAATAAACATTTGCTGTGTACCAAGTGATGCAGTAAGCATTTTGATACCACCACCATCTTTCCTGGGGGTTGGCTGCTCTTCCAAACTGGAAAAGCAGAACAATCATCAGTTAATTCAAGATGGAATGGTGCACTACCAATGGTGCATCTTGAATTGAGAAGAGGGTGAAGAAAATTAACTGTGTTAGATGAGTCCAGGCTATCCTGGAAGAACCTTCCACTGGATTCCTATGTCACCTGTAATTATCTGTTAGCCACCATGAAATCAGAATCAGGAAGTGGTAGAGAATGAGTGTGTCCTAAATTCAGCACTTTGGGGCAGAGTCTCCAGTCATAAACAAGTTGAAAATGAGTTGTATAATCATACCATTGGGGGAGATTAGAGGTGTAGTAGGCTTTTCAATAATACCAAGAGAAAATATATGTGCTTATAAAACTCGTATTGCCCCAGGATAGTACTGTGTAACTGGTGTACTGGTAGAAAGAGCTACAGTATATAGATTTGTAATTAGCTATTAGCTACATAGTCTAAGTATGTGCATGATAGAGTAGAGGAGTGTATAAAGGAACCAGTTTCTTTTCTTAGACACAAACAAGATTTAAAGGAGAGAAAGACCCCCATTGGCTTTTGCAGTGCCTTGGGCTATTTAGCATTCAGAAAAAAAATATCCTAAATCCTTTTCCCTCCACAATTCATTTTGGCATAAGACGAGGTCAGGTTTATACACACTATCTTCAGTGGGTGCAGTATAAGCACCACTTAATACGGCTTGCTCTTTCCAAGTGGAAGAGTGGAATCCAGATCGCTAGATTTGAAGATCTGGTAGTTCTGAAGTCTACAGTAAGCCACTTACCACCAAGCTTCACATGCTCTATTTATACAGGAGGGGTTAAAGTTGCCTGCATTAGAAGATAGATCACATGTGGGTAACAGCTATTTTTATTGTTGGA